ACCGGACGTGCACCGCCCAGACTTCAGCACGTACCGTGAGCCCGCATCGGCTGAGGAGTCGCCCGACGAACTCGACATCATTGGGCGTCACTCGCGCGATGAATCGCCGGATGAAATCGATTTCCTCACCCAACACCACCGCGCCTTCATCGCCACAGACGACGACGACCCCACCCTCGACGCCATCGAGCCCGTCAAATCGATCACTAGCGACCCCCAGACCTGGCGCGAAGCAATGTCCAGCGACGAGCACAACATCTGGGCTGAGGCCGCCGCCGCCGAGTTCACCGCCATGCGCGACGACTTCAAGGTGTTCACCCATCGAGCCTCGCTCATCTGTACCGCCGGGCGCCACCATCGTCACCTCCAAATTCGTCTGGAAGACCAAGCGCAACGCAAGCGGTGAAGTCACGGGGCGGAAGGCACGTCTTGTAGCGCAGGGTAACCGACAGCGCGACGGCATCGACTTCTCAGAAACCTTCGCACCCGTCGCCCGTTTCTCCTCCATTCGCTGCCTCCTGGCTCTTGCCGCTGCCAATGGCTACCACGTTCATCAGGCCGACATCGACAAGGCTTACCTCCACGGCGAGCTCGATCATGATATCTGGATGACGACACCACGCGGTTTCGACTTCCCGAGCGATAAGGTTCTCCGGCTGCGACGCTCAATCTACGGCCTCAAGCAGGCCGGTCGCATCTGGAATCGTCACATTGACACATCACTCAGGAATCTGGGGTACAAGGCAACAGGCACTGATCACTGCATTTACTCTCGCATTGACGATCAGCAGCGGCCTCACTATATCGCCTTGTATGTCGACGACCTCCTCATTGTCAGTCCAGCCCTCGACGAGATCGAACGTGTCATCTCCGGCCTTGAACAGCGGTACGGCGTCAAACGACTCGGCCCCGCGGAGTACATCCTCGGAATCCAAATACGCCGCCTGGACGACGGTTCCAGGAAGCGCTACATCATGGACGTGCTGGCCCGTTTCCACTTCGACACCACGACACGCGGCACTACGGTGCCGATGACGCCGGCCTCTCGCTCACGGCAATTCCGGGTCAGGGAACGGAGCGCATTCGTTCGTGGTACCTACAGGCCATCGGCTCCCTCCTCTACATCTCCCTTGGCACTCGACCCGACATTGCCTTCGCCGTCTCGTACCTGTCCCCGGTTCGCCAACAACCCCGGCCGCCGCCATTGGATTGCCGTCAAACACGTCCTTCGCTACCTTCGCGCCACGTACCGCGATGAGCTTCTCTATGCCCGCGGCCCAGCAAAAGTCACGGGTGTGGTTGGTTATTCTGATGCGAACTGGGGCGCCTGCGTCGACACATCCATTTCAACGATGGGCTACGTATTTTACTTGGCAGGCGCCGCTGTCTCTTGGTCGTCGAAGCGTCAGACTCGGGTAGCGGATTCCACCACTGATGCCGAGTACCTGGCCTTGTCGCACGCGGGTAAGGAAGCGATCTACTTAACCAACTCCTCTCCGAGCTCCACGTTTGCCCAATCGCTGCAGCTCACATCTTCACCGACAACGAGGCCGCGGCCGCCGTCGCTCACGACCCCGTTCGCACCTCCGCACCACATTCGCCTCCGCGAGCATTTTGTCCGTGACATGGTCAATCGAGGTGATATCTCTCTCTCACACGTTGGCACAGCAGACATGGTTGCGGACGTATTCACCAAAGCGCTAGGCCCCAAGATTTTTGGTACACATTGCTATGCTCTAGGCCTCCGGACGCGACATCCACGGCTCAAGTCTACCTCGCGTTCGCGTGGGGGGGGGTGTGAGGAATCCACTCTCCGCTCGGCTCAGGACTTAGGCGCGCGGAGCGAACCGGGCGCGGACTTAGGCGCGCGGAGTGAGCCGGGCGCCCCGGCCCAGGACTTAGGCGCGCGAAGCGAGCCTGGGACTTAGGCGCGCGGAGCGAGCCTGGGCCATTGGCTCAGCCCCAGGCTCGCTGGCTGTGGACTTGGGGCGCGCGGTCTCTTATTGTTAGCTTCCTATTCATCACTCTTGGCTATAACTACATCGCTGACGTAGTAGAGTTGATCGAATAGGTATGTTGAAATGCATTTATCACTCTTGGCTATAACTACATCGCTGACGTAGTAGAGTTGATCGAATAGGTGGCGATGAAGGCGCGGTGGTGTTGGGTGAGGAAATCGATTTCGTCCGGCGATTCATCGCGCGAGTGGCGCCCAATGATGTCGAGTTCGTCGGGCGACTCCTCAGCCGATGCGGGCTCACGGTACGTGCTGAAGTCTGGGCGGTGCACGTCCGGTGGGCCGAGGCGAGTCGGGTCTGTGAGCCGATCCAGAGGGTCGCGGAGTAGTCAGAGTCGGTCGGTAAGGCCGAGGGTGACGATGACGCAGCCAACGACGGTGACAGCGCAGGCGACGGTGACAAGGGGGTTGCGGGCGACGGTGACGAGGACGGCTCAGGAGACGGTGACGAGGACGATTCGGCATCTGTGGAATTAAGTAAGGTTCCGCCAGTGTACCCTGGGGCCACGTCAACGGCGCTCATGGCAGAGTCATCAAGAGAGGATGAGACGTCCATGTGCGCCGACCTTACTAGTGGGTCCATGTCTTGGCTTGGGATTCGGTGGTGGGCAAGCGCTGGCGAAGTGCGTGTCGGCGTCTTGCTCGGTGGAGTCGCTACGTAACCCGGGAAATTCGTTGTCGAGGACCTGGCATTTCTGCCAAACTGATCTTCTTGGTCGTCGTGTCGTAGAACGGAAGGCTTTAGAAGCCAGGTCATAGCCGGTGAAGAGAACGCGAACCGCTTTCGGGTCGAGTTTCGAGCGAAGTTCAGGCGCGACTGTGAGCAAGCCGTGCAGCCGAACGGGTGAAGCGCCGAGGCGTTGGTGCGGTCGCCCTGCCAGGCGAAGTTCGGTGTTGCCTTGTCCAGGGCCGAGTGTTTCGCACAGGTTCTTGCAGTAGACGAAATAAGCTGCTGCCTCCTCCCAGAATGATTTGGGTAAGTGGGCGTCTGCAAGGAGGGCAAGGACACCTTCGACGATAGAACGATTGACTCGTTCGGCACGACCGTTCTGTTGAGGCGTTCGAGGGATAGAGTATTGTCGACGTGTGCCGCGTGCCTTACAGAATTCCGTGAACGCTCTCGAACAGTATTCGCCACCATTGTCGGTTCGGAGGACCTTCAGTTTTGCACCCGTCTCGAGTTCGACCTCGGCAAGCCATGTCTTGAACACGCCAAAGACTTCGCTTTTGTGTCCGATCGCGTATGCCCACAGTTTGCGCGAGAAGTCGTCAAGAAACGTGACCAGGTAACGCTTGCCAGTCAAGGACGACTCGGGAAAGGAAAGCACATCGCTGTGTACGAGGCCGAGTCTCTCTGAGGAGTGCGAGTCCGAATCGGGAAAAGGAAGACGATGGCCCTTTGCACTGAGGCAAGCATTGCAGACAAACTTCTCTACCTCTTCGTCACTATATCCGGCCCGAGACCTTCCAGCAAACCAGCGGCAACCATCTTCTGTATGGACGACGGTGCGAGATGGCCGAGGCAGCGGTGAAGGGTCAGCAGGGGCACGGAAGACTGTGAGCGAGAGAGGAGAGCGAGATGCTGACATTTGGAATGATCAGCGTCCAGCAAGTAGAGCCCTTCCTCGAGTCTTGCGCCTTCAGCGATAGCATTGCCGTTCTTGTCGATATGGATGCCGTGCTTCGTGAAGGCGACACGGACATCGTCGGTGTCGCAAAGTCGAGAGACCGAGAGGAGGTTGACAGACAGGCCCGGGGTGTGCAGCACGCCGGTAAGCGTGATCGGGTGACCGGAGGCGGCAACAAAGGCGTATGAGATGATCACCACTACTGTCAGGAGAAGTCGAGAGTCGAACAGAAGTGATCTATTTCAGCGTACCTATGAGATGATCACCACTACTGTCAGGAGAAGTCGAGAGTCGAACAGAAGTGATGAGAAGGAAGCTAAGAAATGGAAAGGGGGCCCGCGCTGGGATATGCCCAGGCGCGGGCGAAATCGCTGGAGCGCTGAGGCAGTCGCGCGCGGCTAAGTCCCCACTGCAAGGGCGGGCTAGCGGCGCGCGCCCGAAAACCGCCGGCGCCGGCGCGCTGAGGCACTCGCGCGCGCCTAAGTCCCCACCACAGGGGCCAGGCTAGCAGGCGCGCGCAACGACCGAGGCGCCCCTGTCGAGCTGAGAGTGGACTCTTCACACAAGCGTCAATCTCGAGTTGCCGATTCTACCACCGACGCTGAATACCTCGCCCTCTCGCATGCTGGCAAGGAAGGGATCTACCTCAGTCAGCTGCTCGAGGAGCTCCATGTCCAACCTGTTGCACCGGCTCACATTTTTACTGACAATGAAGCCGCTGCCGCAGTTGCCCACGACCCTGTCCGCGTCTCCGGCACTCGACACATACGCTTGCGCGAGCACTTTGTGGGACATGGTGAATCGGGGCGATATCTCACTCTCGCATGTGGAACCAGCAACATGGTGGCCGACATCTTCACAAAGGCTCTTGGCCCAAAGATTTTCTCGACACACTGCTACGCACTAGGCCTTCGCACTCGACACCCACGGCTTGGATCTGCCTCGCATTCGCGTGGGGGGGGGTGTGAAGAGTCCACTCTCAGCTCGACAGGGGCGCCTCGGTCGTTGCGCGCGCCTGCTAGCCTGGCCCCTGTGGTGGGGACTTAGGCGCGCGCGAGTGCCTCAGCGCGCCGGCGCCGGCGGTTTTCGGGCGCGCGCCGCTAGCCCGCCCTTGCAGGGGACTTAGCCCGCGCGACTGCCTCAGCGCTCCAGCGATTTCGCCCGCGCCTGGGCATATCCCAGCGCGGGCCACCTTTCCATTTCTTAGCTTCCTTCTCATCACTTCTGTTCGACTCTCGACTTCTCCTGACAGTAGTGGTGATCATCTCATAGGTACGCTGAAATATATCACTTCTGTTCGACTCTCGACTTCTCCTGACAGTAGTGGTGATCATCTCATAGCTTGGACGACCAAGACACGGCGGATCCGGCAATGTAGAAGACGTAGCCCATAGTGGACACCGACGTATCGACGCAGGCCCCCCAGTTCGCGTCGGAGTAGCCAACCACGCCCGTGATGCGTGTCTCGCCGCAAGCATAAACCAGTTCGTCGCGATATGTGGCCCGGAGATAGCGGAGGATGTGCTTGACCGCGATCCAGTGACGACGTCCAGGGTTGTTGGCGAAGCGGGCCAGGTAGGACACGGCGAAGGCGATGTCGGGGCGGGTGCCGAGCGAAATGTAGAGGAGCGAGCCGATAGCCTGCAGATACCATGACCTGATCCGTTCGGTGCCTTGACCCGGGATGGCGGTGAGCGAAAGGCCGGGGGTCATCGGGACTGTAGTGCCGCGAGTCGTGGTGTCGAAGTGGAACCGAGCAAGCACGTCCATGATGTACCGTTCCTGGGACAGGGCAATAGAACCGTCTTCGAGTCGCCTGATCTGGATGCCGAGGATGTACTCTGCCGGGCCGAGGCGCTTGACGCCGTAGCGTTGTTCGAGGCCCGAGATGACACGTTCAATTTCGGCCAAGTCGGGGCTGATCATCAGGAGGTCGTCGACGTACAGCGCGATGTAGTGTGGGCGTCGCCGATCGTCGATCCGAGAGTACACGCAGTGGTCGGTGCCCGTCGCCGTATAGCCGAGATCTCGAAGCGATGCGTCGATGTGTCGATTCCAGATTCGGCCAGCCTGTTTGAGTCCGTAGATGGAGCGTCGCAGACGAAGCACCTTGTCGGTGGGAAGGTCGAAGCCGCGCGGTGTCGTCATCCAGATGTCATGGTCAAGGTCGCCATGCAGATAGGCTTTGTCGATGTCCGCCTGGTGCACGTGCAAGCCGTTGGCGGCCGCCAGCGCGAGGAGTGAGCGTATCGAGGAGAAGCGTGCGACTGGTGCGAAGGTTTCGTTGAAGTCGATGCCGTCGCGTTGCCGATTTCCCTGCGCCACGAGCCGTGCCTTGTGGCCGGTGACTTCGCCGAGTGCATTCCGTTTCGTTTTCCAGACGAACTTGGATGTGACGATGGTCGCACCCGCTGGTACCGTGGATCGGTCCTCGATGGTGAAGACCTTGAAGTCGTCGCGCATGGAATTGAACTCGTCGGTAGCGGCCTTGGCCCACACTTCGCGCTTGTCACTCGACATTGCCTCGCGCCATGTCTGTGGGTCGCTGGTGATGGACTTGTTGAACTTCGGGACAATATGCGCTCACTGAAGTAGAGAGTGGGTTCCTTCACTCATGAGTTCGGGGGCGCGCGCATGACTTGTGTGGCGCATCGTGCTCACAGTTGGTCGGATTCAGCTTCGCGCACCTTCGGGACGCGCTCACTGCAGTCGGACTTGACTGGCAGCGTCGTCGATGAAGGCGCCGATTTCGTCCGGCGATTCATCGCGCGAGTGGCGGATGTCGAGTTCGTCGGGCGACTCCTCAGCCGATGCGGGCTCACGGTACGTGCTGAAGTCTGGGCGGTGCACGTCCGGTGGGCCGAGGCGAGTCGGGGTCTGTGAGCCGATGAGGTCCAGAGGGTCGGCGGAGTAGTCAGAGTCGGTCGGTAAGGCCGAGGGTGACGATGACGCAGCCAACGACGGTGACAGCGCAGGCGACGGTGACAAGGGGTTGCGGGCGACGGTGACGAGGACGGCTCAGGAGACGGTGACGAGGACGATTCGGCATCTGTGGAATTAAGTAAGGTTCCGCCAGTGTACCCTGGGGCCACGTCAACGGCGCTCATGGCAGAGTCATCAAGAGAGGATGAGACGTCCATGTGCGCCGACCTTACTAGTGGGGTCCATGTCTTGACAACGGCTTGGGATTCGGTGGTCGGGCAAGCGCTGGCGAAGTGCGTGTCGGCGTCTTGCTCGGTGGAGTCGCTACGTAACCCGGGAAATTCGTTGTCGAGGAACCTGGCATTTCTGCCCAAACTGATCTTCTTGGTCGTCGTGTCGTAGAAACGGAAGGCTTTAGAAGCCAGGTCATAGCCGGTGAAGAGAACGCGAACCGCTTTCGGGTCGAGTTTCGAGCGAAGTTCAGGCGCGACTGTGAGCCAAGCCGTGCAGCCGAACGGGTGAAGCGCCGAGGCGTTGGTGCGGTCGCCCTGCCAGGCGAAGTTCGGTGTTGCCTTGTCCAGGGCCGAGTGTTCGCACAGGTTCTTGCAGTAGACGAAATAAGCTGCTGCCTCCTCCCAGAATGATTTGGGTAAGTGGGCGTCTGCAAGGAGGGCAAGGACACCTTCGACGATAGAACGATTGACTCGTTCGGCACGACCGTTCTGTTGAGGCGTTCGAGGGATAGAGTATTGTCGACGTGTGCCGCGTGCCTTACAGAATTCCGTGAACGCTCTCGAACAGTATTCGCCACCATTGTCGGTTCGGAGGACCTTCAGTTTTGCACCCGTCTCGAGTTCGACCTCGGCAAGCCATGTCTTGAACACGCCAAAGACTTCGCTTTTGTGTCCGATCGCGTATGCCCACAGTTTGCGCGAGAAGTCGTCAAGAAACGTGACCAGGTAACGCTTGCCAGTCAAGGACGACTCGGGAAAGGAAAGCACATCGCTGTGTACGAGGCCGAGTCTCTCTGAGGAGTGCGAGTCCGAATCGGGAAAAGGAAGACGATGGCCCTTTGCACTGAGGCAAGCATTGCAGACAAACTTCTCTACCTCTTCGTCACTATATCCGGCCCCGAGACCTTCCAGCAAACCAGCGGCAACCATCTTCTGTATGGACGACGGTGCGAGATGGCCGAGGCAGCGGTGAAGGGTCAGCAGGGGCACGGAAGACTGTGAGCGAGAGAGGAGAGCGAGATGCTGACATTTGGAATGATCAGCGTCCAGCAAGTAGAGCCCTTCCTCGAGTCTTGCGCCTTCAGCGATAGCATTGCCGTTCTTGTCGATATGGATGCCGTGCTTCGTGAAGGCGACACGGACATCGTCGGTGTGCGCAAAGTCGAGAGACCGAGAGGAGGTTGACAGACAGGCCCGGGGTGTGCAGCACGCCGGTAAGCGTGATCGGGTGACCGGAGGCGGCAACAAAGGCGATGTTTCCCGTTCCGACGGCGTTGATGCCCCCTGCAATACCACCAATCTTCGTAGGAGCGATGTGGCGATAGGCCGTGAACAGCGACTTGTCCGAGACCATGTGCGAAGTGGCACCCGAGTCGACGACGAAGGAGTTGTTGCGAAGCTGACGACGATGTGCGAGAAGACCGGTGGCGAGACATCCGACATGGTGTTGCGCATCAGAGGTGTCGGGCGTTTTCCCGTCCTCAAGAGCCTTTTTGCAGTCGAAAGACCAGTGGTCCTTCTTCTTGCAGGAGCGACACGGGCCTGGCGGTGGATGCTGGGCCCTTGTAGGGCATTGTGCGACGCGGTGAGAAGAGCTGCGACAGGCGAGGCACTTGGTACGGGTAGAACGTGGCGACGACGAGGCAAGGAGGGCCGATTGATCGTTGGAGAGGTTCGTTGACCGGAGTTGAACTCGCATACGGTCGGCCACTGAATCGATGTCAGGGAGAGTTCGTTGCGTGCGTTGTTCGTCGGTGAACGTTGCCTTGAAGCTCTCGAGTGACGGGTGGGCGATCGCGAGGAGGAGTGTGGCAAGGACGTCGTTGATCGTCGTTTTCGTATCGATGATCTCTTGCGCGACCGACTTGAAGTCCATGATCCAACTGTCAAATTCGCCAACCGTTCCGGGCATGGGTCGGAAGCCCCAGAGTCGCGAGAAGAGCTCGAGCGTGCGAGTGGCGTCATCAGGGGCGTATCGCGATTTCAGCGTCGAGTAAATCTTGGGCGCTGTGAGGTCGCCGTAGGATCTTGTCGAGGACTGCCGAGACTTCGGCCGAGTCGATTGAGTTTGCAAGGATCTCGCGTGCCACGACGTCGCGGGCGGAGCGTTGCGAAGGCGTCCAATCGTCGGGGGTGATTCCGTCGAGGACGTAGGAGCGGATGTCGTCCGCTAGGCACAGGCGAAGCTGGCGTGTCCAGTTCGCGAACGTCTTCGGCCCGTCCAACCGCGCATGCTTCGGGAAGGCATTGCGATTGGGAGCCGGATGTCGTGGCGGGTGCGGTAGTGCCGGAAGCGGCAGCGGTGAGTCCCGACAGCAGCGATGTAAGTGCGGCAAAGCTGTTCGGCGGGAATTGTCGGGGTGGCGCTCGTCGCGAGGGTTGACGACGTGTCCATCGCCAGCGGTAGCTCGATGGGCTTATAACCTATGAGATGATCACCACTACTGTCAGGAGAAGTCGAGAGTCGAACAGAAGTGATGAGAAGGAAGCTAAGAAATGGAAAGGGGGCCCGCGCTGGGATATGCCCAGGCGCGGGCGAAATCGCTGGAGCGCTGAGGCAGTCGCGCGCCGGCTAAGTCCCCACTGCAAGGGCGGGCTAGCGGCGCGCGCCCGAAAACCGCCGGCGCCGGCGCGCTGAGGCACTCGCGGCGCGCCTAAGTCCCCACCACAGGGGCCAGGCTAGCAGGCGCGCGCAACGACCGAGGCGCCCCTGTCGAGCTGAGAGTGGACTCTTCACACCATCAATACTCGAAGGAAGTCTCCCAAGTTTGCGGCCGGAGTCGACATCAGCTACCGGTTTGTTCGTTGCAAGCATTGTCGGCGCGATGGTGTAGTCGTGAGGGCGCGCGGGCGCGCACTCAGTGGTCGAGGGTTCGATCCGCCCGGAGCGTGATCTGCCTTTTGGTTTCTTTTCCTTTTTGTTATCCGAGGCCCGGCTTCGGGGTTTTTACCGGTGCCTTGCAGGCAATCCTTTTTACCCCTGAAGCGACCTCGTGGTGTAGTTATTTGATTCAGTCTTTCCTTCGCTCGGAGCACTTCCCTCCTTTTGCTTTTGCCACCCTTCCCCTAGAGCTTGGTCCACTCATTATCATGACTCGTACCCTCCCTCTTTTTACCCATTTCGCTGGCAATTAAGTCCGTTACACTTGATTTGCTGCGAAGCCTTCCGACCGAATCCACTCCTCGGTTGCTCTCGGTCGACTGCCGCCGCCCAGCCGACTCGACCTTCCCATCGGCCTGGTCAGCTATTTCTTGGATCGTTTGCCCTTCCTCTTTTGTCCGACCTCGTTGGCCACCATAGTCCGGTACACTGGACTTGCTGCGAGCCTTGCAGCCGCGTATCCTCCGCGGTTGCCTCTCGGTCGACTTCCGCCGCCCAGCCGACTCGACCTTCCCACCGGCCTGGTCAGCTATTTCTTGGATCGTTTGCCCTCCCTCTTCTGTCCGACCTCGTTGGCTACCATAGTTCGGTACACTGGACTTGCTGCGAGCCTTGCAGCCGCGTATCCTCCGCGGTTGCCTCTCGGTCGACTGCCGCCGCCTCGGTCGACACCCCCTTCGCTCCTTCGCGCTTTCGCGCGCCTCTCTCGCTCTCTCCCTCGTCTCTCGCGTGTAGTCATCGTCATCCCCTCCGACGTTGCCTGTCACCTGTTGATTGCGCCTTCGGGCCCTGGGGTCATGGGTTACGACGCAGGCTCTCCCCGGTTCCCCTCATCTGGCCGAGAACATTATGGACGCCGTCGATTGGTCTATCGGCCGCCTCTCTCCTCCCATCGCTGTCATCGAGTTCACGCTATTGCTACGGCCCCTGCCAACTATTCGATCAACTCTACTACGTCAGCGATGTAGTTATAGCCAAGAGTGATGAATAGGAAGCTAACAATAAGAGACCCGCGCGCCCCAAGTCCACAGCCAGCGAGCCTGGGGCTGAGCCAATGGCCCAGGCTCGCTCCGCGCGCCTAAGTCCCAGGCTCGCTTCGCGCGCCTAAGTCCTGGGCCGGGGCACCCGGCTCACTCCGCGCGCCTAAGTCCGCGCCCGGTTCGCTCCGCGCGCCTAAGTCCTGAGCCGAGCGGAGAGTGGATTCCTCACACCCCCCCCACGCGAACGCGAGGTAGACTTGAGCCGTGGATGTCGCGTCCGGAGGCCTAGAGCATAGCAATGTGTACCAAAAAATCTTGGGGCCTAGCGCTTTGGTGAATACGTCCGCAACCATGTCTGCTGTGCCAACGTGTGAGAGAGAGATATCACCTCGATTGACCATGTCACGGACAAAATGCTCGCGGAGGCGAATGTGCCGGGTGCCGGAGGTGCGAACGGGGTCGTGAGCGACGGCGGCCGCGGCCTCGTTGTCGGTGAAGATGTGAGCTGCAGCGATTGGGCAAACGTGGAGCTCGGAGAGGAGTTGGTTAAGGTAGATCGCTTCCTTACCCGCGTGCGACAAGGCCAGGTACTCGGCATCAGTGGTGGAATCCGCTACCCGAGTCTGACGCTTCGACGACCAAGAGACAGCGGCGCCTGCCAAGTAAAATACGTAGCCCATCGTTGAAATGGATGTGTCGACGCAGGCGCCCCAGTTCGCATCAGAATAACCAACCACACCCGTGACTTTTGCTGGGCCGCGGGCATAGAGAAGCTCATCGCGGTACGTGGCGCGAAGGTAGCGAAGGACGTGTTTGACGGCAATCCAATGGCGGCGGCCGGGGTTGTTGGCGAACCGGGACAGGTACGAGACGGCGAAGGCAATGTCGGGTCGAGTGCCAAGGGAGATGTAGAGGAGGGAGCCGATGGCCTGTAGGTACCACGAACGAATGCGCTCCGTTCCCTGACCCGGAATTGCCGTGAGCGAGAGGCCGGGCGTCATCGGCACCGTAGTGCCGCGTGTCGTGGTGTCGAAGTGGAAACGGGCCAGCACGTCCATGATGTAGCGCTCCTGGGATAGAGCAATGGAACCGTCGTCCAGGCGGCGTATTTGGATTCCGAGGATGTACTCCGCGGGGCCGAGTCGTTTGACGCCGTACCGCTGTTCAAGGCCGGAGATGACACGTTCGATCTCGTCGAGGGCTGGACTGACAATGAGGAGGTCGTCGACATACAAGGCGATATAGTGAGGCCGCTGCTGATCGTCAATGCGAGAGTAAATGCAGTGATCAGTGCCTGTTGCCTTGTACCCCAGATTCCTGAGTGATGTGTCAATGTGACGATTCCAGATGCGACCGGCCTGCTTGAGACCGTAGATTGAGCGTCGCAGCCGGAGAACCTTATCGCTCGGGAAGTCGAAACCGCGTGGTGTCGTCATCCAGATATCATGATCGAGCTCGCCGTGGAGGTAAGCCTTGTCGATGTCGGCCTGATGAACGTGATAGCCATTGGCAGCGGCAAGAGCCAGGAGGCAGCGAATGGAGGAGAAACGGGCGACGGGTGCGAAGGTTTCTGAGAAGTCGATGCCGTCGCGCTGTCGGTTACCCTGCGCTACAAGACGTGCCTTCCGCCCCGTGACTTCACCGCTTGCGTTGCGCTTGGTCTTCCAGACGAATTTGGAGGTGACGATGGTGGCGCCCGGCGGTACAGATGAGCGAGGCTCGATGGTGAACACCTTGAAGTCGTCGCGCATGGCGGTGAACTCGGCGGCGGCGGCCTCAGCCCAGATGTTGTGCTCGTCGCTGGACATTGCTTCGCGCCAGGTCTGGGGGTCGCTAGTGATCGATTTGACGGGCTCGATGGCGTCGAGGGTGGGGTCGTCGTCGTCTGTGGCGATGAAGGCGCGGTGGTGTTGGGTGAGGAAATCGATTTCATCCGGCGATTCATCGCGCGAGTGACGCCCAATGATGTCGAGTTCGTCGGGCGACTCCTCAGCCGATGCGGGCTCACGGTACGTGCTGAAGTCTGGGCGGTGCACGTCCGGTGGGCCGAGGCGAGTCGGGGTCTGTGAGCCGATGAGGTCCAGAGGGTCGGCGGAGTAGTCAGAGTATGAGACGTTCACCACTACTGTCAGGAGAGGTTGAGAGTCGAACAGAAGTGATGAGAAGGAAGCTAAGAAACAGAAAGGGGGGGGCCACGCTGGGATAGTCCCAGGCGCGTGACAATGTACATCCCTAAGTCAGCCGCGGGTGAAATCGCCGGCGCGCCTAAGTCCCCACCGCAAGGGGGCGGGCTAGCGGGCGCGCGCATGAATCCGCCGGCGCTGGCGCGCTGAGGCAGTCGCGCGCGTCTAAGTCCCCACCGCCGGGGGCGGGCTAGCAAGTGCGCGCAACGACCGAGGCGCCCCTGTCGAGCTGAGAGTGGACTCTTCACACCCCCCCCACGCGAATGCGAGGCAGACCCAAGCCGCGGGTGTCGAGTGCGAAGGCCGAGGGCGTAGCAGTGCGTTGAGAAGACCTTTGGGCCGAGAGCCTTGGTGAAGATGTCGGCCACCATGTCGCTGGTACCCACATGCGAGAGAGAGATGTCGCCCCGATTCACCATGTCCCGAACGAAGTGCTCACGCAAGCGTATGTGCCGAGTGCCAGAGACGCGGACAGGATCGTGAGCAACTGCAGCAGCGGCTTCGTTGTCAGTAAAGATGTGAGCCGGTGCAACAGGTTGTACATGGAGCTCTTCGAGCAGCTGACTGAGGTAAATCCCTTCCTTGCCAGCATGCGAGAGGGCGAGGTATTCAGCGTCGGTGGTCGAATCGGCAACTCGAGACTGGCGTTTGGACGACCAGGACACGGCCGAGCCAGCGATGTAGAAGACGTAGCCCATGGTGGACACCGATGTGTCGATGCAGGCCCCCAGTTCGCGTCGGAGTAGCCTACCACACCCGTGATGCGAGCCTGGCCGCGAGCATACACGAGTTCGTTGCGATACGTGGCCCGGAGATAGCGTAGGATGTGCTTGACCGCAATCCAATGACGACGACCGGGGTTGTTGGCGAAGCGGGCCAGGTAGGACACGGCGAAGGCGATGTCAGGGCGGGTACCGAGCGAAATGTAGAGGAGCGAGCCGATAGCCTGCAGATACCATGACCTGATCCGTTCGGTGCCTTGACCCGGGATAGCAGTGAGCGAAAGGCCGGGAGTCATCGGAACTGTAGTGCCGCGAGTCGTGGTGTCGAAGTGGAACCGAGCGAGCACGTCCATGATGTACCGTTCCTGGGATAGGGCGATAGAGCCGTCGTCGAACCGCCTGATCTGGATGCCGAGGATATACTCGGCCGGGCCGAGGCGCTTGACTCCGTAGCGTTGGTCCAGGCCTGAGATGACACGTTCGATTTCGGCCAGTTCCGGGCTGATCATCAGGAGGTCGTCGACGTACAGTGCGATGTAGTGTGGACATTGACGATCATCGAGCCAAGAGTATACGCAGTGGTCGGTGCCCGTCGCCGTGTAACCGAGGGCCCGAAGCGAAGCGTCGATGTGTCGATTCCAGATTCGGCCAGCCTGTTTGAGCCCGTAGATGGAGCGTCGCAGGCGAAGCACCTTGTCGCTGGGAAGGTCGAAGCCGCGCGGTGCCGTCATCCAGATGTCGTGGTCAAGGTCGCCATGCAGATATGCTTTGTCGATGTCCGCCTGGTGCACGTGCAAGCCGTTGGCGGCCGCCAGCGCGAGGAGTGAGCGTATCGAGGAGAAGCGTGCGACCGGTGCGAACGTTTCGTTGAAGTCGATGCCGTCGCGTTGCCGATTGCCTTGCGCGACCAGCCTTGCCTTGTGTCCAGTGACTTCGCCGAGTGCGTTCCGTTTCGTTTTCCAGACGAACTTGGATGTAACGATAGTCGCACCCGCGGGCACCGTGGCTCGGTCCTCGATGGTGAAGACCTTGAAGTCGTCGCGCATGGAGGTGAACTCGTCGGTGGCGGCTTTGGCCCATACTTCACGCTTGTCGCTAGACATCGCCTCGCGCCAGGTCTGTGGGTCGCTCGTGATGGACTTGACTGGCTGAATTGCCTCTGTGTCAGAGGTGTCGTCGTCGATGGCGATGAAGGCGCGGTGGTGTCGGGTGAGGAAATCGATTTCGTCCGGAGATTCGTCGCGAGAGTGGCGCCCAATGAGGTCGAGTTCGTCGGGCGACTCCTCAGCCGATGCGGGCTCGCGGTACGTGCTGAAGTCTGGGTGGTGCACGTCCTGTAGATCGAGGCGAACCTGGGGCTGTGAGCCGAGGAGGTCGAGGGGATCGGCGGAGTCTTCAGAGTCGGTCGGTAAGGCCGAGGGTGACGATGACGCAGCCGACGATGGTGAAAGTGCAGGCGATGGCGCAGACGACGGTGATGAGGGCGACGCAGGCGACGGTGACGAGGACGATTCGGCATCTGTGAAGTTAAGTAAGGTTCCGCCAGTGTACCCTGGGGCCACGTCAACGGCGCTCATGGCAGAATCATCAAGGGGGGATGAGACGTCCATGTGCGCCGACCTTACTAGTGGGGTCCATGTCTTGACAACGGTTTGAGATTCGGTGGTGGGAGCGCTGGCGAAGTGCGTGTCGCCGTCTTGCTCAGTGGGGTCGCCATGTAATCCGGGGAATTCAGTGTCGAGGAACGTGGCATTTCTGCCAAGTATAATCTTCTGTGTTGTAGTGTCGTAGAAGCGAAAGGCTTTTGAAGCCAGGTCGTAGCCGGTGAAAAAAACGCGAACCGCCTTCGGGTCGAGTTTGGAGCGAAGTTCGGGCGCGACCGTAAGCCAAGCTGTACAGCCGAACGGGTGAAGCGCCGAGGCAGTGGTGTGGTCACCCTGCCAGACGGAGTTTGGTGTTGCCTTGTCCAGGGCCGCGTGTTGACACAGGTTCTTGCAGTAAACGAAATAAGCTGCAGCCTCCTCCCAGAATGTCTTGGGTAGGTGGGCGTCGACAAGGAGGGCAAGGACGCCTTCGACAATGGAACGATTGACCCGCTCTGCACGACCGTTCTGTTGAGGCGTGCGTGGGATAGAGTATTGTCGACGGGTGCCTCGTGTCTTGCAGAACTCTGTGAACGCTCTCGAACAGTATTCGCCACCGTTGTCGGTTCGGAGGACCTTCAGCGTCGCACCCGTCTCGAGTTCAACCTCGGCTAGCCAAGTTTTGAATATGCCGAAGACTTCGCTTTTGTGTCCGATTGCGTAGGCCCAGAGTTTGCGCGAGTAATCGTCAAGGAATGTGACCAGGTAACGTTTGCCAGTCAAGGACCGCTCGGGGAAGGAAAGCACATCGCTGTGTACAAGGCCGAGTCTCTCTGAGGAGTGCGAATCCGAATCGGGAGAGGGAAGACGATGGCCCTTTGCGCTGAGGCAAGCATTGCAGACAAACTTCTCTACCTCTTCGTCACTATATCCGGCCCTGAGACCCTCCAGCAAACCAGCGGCAACCATCTTCTGTATGGAGGACGGTGCGAGATGGCCGAGGCAGCGATGGAGAGTCAGCAGGGGCACGGACGACTGTGAGCGAGAAAGGAGAGCAAGGTGCTGACATTTGGAATGATCAGCGTCCAGCAAGTAGAGCCCTTCGTCGAGTCGTGCGCCTTCAGCGATGTCGTTGCCGTCCTTGTCAATGTGGATGCCGTGTTTTGTGAAGGCGACATGGACATCGTCGGTGTCGCAAAGTCGAGAGACCGAGAGAAGATTGACAAACAGGCCCGGAGTGTGCAGCACGCCGGTAAGCGTGATCGGATGACCCGAGGCGGCAATGAAGGCGATGTTTCCCGTTCCGATGGCGTTGATGCCCCCTGCAATACCACCAATCTTCGTAGGAGCGATATGGCGATAGGTCGTGAACAGCGACTTGTCCGAGACCATGTGCGAAGTGGCGCCCGAGTCGACGACAAAAGAGTGGTTGCGAAGCTGGCGACGACGAGCGAGAAGACCGGTGGCGAGACATCCGACATGGTGTGAAGAGTCCACTCTCAGCTCGACAGGGGCGCCTCGGTCGTTGCGCGCGCCTGCTAGCCTGGCCCCTGTGGTGGGGACTTAGGCGCGCGCGAGTGCCTCAGCGCGCCGGCGCCGGCGGTTTTCGGGCGCGCGCCGCTAGCCCGCCCTTGCAGTGGGGACTTAGCCGCGCGCGACTGCCTCAGCGCTCCAGCGATTTCGCCCGCGCCTGGGCATATCCCAGCGCGGGCCACCTTTCCATTTCTTAGCTTCCTTCTGATCACTTCTGTTCGACTCTCGACTTCTCCTGACAGTAGTGGTGATCATCTCATAGGTTATAAGCCCATCGAGCTACCGCTGGCATGGACACGTCGTCAACCCTCGCGACGAGCGCCACCCCGACAATTCCCGCCGAACAGCTTGCCGCACTTACATCGCTGCTGTCGGGACTCACCGCTGCCGCTTCCGGCACTACCGCACCCGCCACGACATCCGGCTCCAATCGCAATGCCTTCCCGAAGCATGCGCGGTTGGACGGGCCGAAGACGTTCGCGAACTGGACACGCCAGCTTCGCCTGTGCCTAGCGGACGACATCCGCTCCTACGTCCTCGACGGAATCACCCCCGACGATTGGACGCCTTCGCAACGCTCCGCCCGCGACGTCGTGGCACGCGAGATCCTTGCAAACTCAATCGACTCGGCCGAAGTCTCGGCAGTCCTCGACAAGATCCCTACGGCCGACCTCACAGCGCCCAAGATTTACTCGACGCTGAAATCGCGATACGCCCCTGATGACGCCACTCGCACGCTCGAGCTCTTCTCGCGACTCTGGGGCTTCCGACCCATGCCCGGAACGGTTGGCGAATTTGACAGTTGGATCATGGACTTCAAGTCGGTCGCGCAAGAGATCATCGATACGAAAACGACGATCAACGACGTCCTTGCCACACTCCTCCTCGCGATCGCCCACCCGTCACTCGAGAGCTTCAAGGCAACGTTCACCGACGAACAACGCACGCAACGAACTCTCCCTGACATCGATTCAGTGGCCGACCGTATGCGAGTTCAACTCCGGTCAACGAACCTCTCCAACGATCAATCGGCCCTCCTTGCCTCGTCGTCGCCACGTTCTACCCGTACCAAGTGCCTCGCCTGTCGCAGCCCTTCTCACCGCGTCGCACAATGCCCTACAAGGGCCCAGCATCCACCGCCAGGCCCGTGTCGCTCCTGCAAGAAGAAGGACCACTGGTCTTTCGACTGCAAAAAGGCTCTTGAGGACGGGAAAACGCCCGACACCTCTGATGCGCAACACCATGTCGGATGTCTCGCCACCGGTCTTCTCGCACATCGTCGTCAGCTTCGCAACAACTCCTTCGTCGTCGACTCGGGTGCCACTTCGCACATGGTCTCGGACAAGTCGCTGTTCACGGCCTATCGCCACATCGCTCCTACGAAGATTGGTGGTATTGCAGGGGGCATCAACGCCGTCGGAACGGGAAACATCGCCTTTGTTGCCGCCTCCGGTCACCCGATCACGCTTACCGGCGTGCTGCACACCCCGGGCCTGTCTGTCAACCTCCTCTCGGTCTCTCGACTTTGCGACACCGACGATGTCCGTGTCGCCTTCACGAAGCACGGCATCCATATCGACAAGAACGGCAATGCTATCGCTGAAGGGCGCAAGACTCGAGGAAGGGCTCTACTTGCTGGACGCTGATCATTCCAAATGTCAGCATCTCGCTCTCCTCTCTCGCTCACAGTCTTCCGTGCCCCTGCTGACCCTTCACCGCTGCCTCGGCCATCTCGCACCGTCGTCCATACAGAAGATGGTTGCCGCTGGTTTGCTGGAAGGTCTCGGGGCCGGATATAGTGACGAAGAGGTAGAGAAGTTTGTCTGCAATGCTTGCCTCAGTGCAAAGGGCCATCGTCTTCCTTTTCCCGATTCGGACTCGCACTCCTCAGAGAGACTCGGCCTCGTACACAGCGATGTGCTTTCCTTTCCCGAGTCGTCCTTGACTGGCAAGCGTTACCTGGTCACGTTTCTTGACGACTTCTCGCGCAAACTGTGGGCATACGCGATCGGACACAAAAGCGAAGTCTTTGGCGTGTTCAAGACATGGCTTGCCGAGGTCGAACTCGAGACGGATGCAAAACTGAAGGTCCTCCGAACCGACAATGGTGGCGAATACTGTTCGAGAGCGTTCACGGAATTCTGTAAGGCACGCGGCACACGTCGACAATACTCTATCCCTCGAACGCCTCAACAGAACGGTCGTGCCGAACGAGTCAATCGTTCTATCGTCGAAGGTGTCCTTGCCCTCCTTGCAGACGCCCACTTACCCAAATCATTCTGGGAGGAGGCAGCAGCTTATTTCGTCTACTGCAAGAACCTGTGCGAACACTCGGCCCTGGACAAGGCAACACCGAACTTCGCCTGGCAGGGCGACCGCACCAACGCCTCGGCGCTTCACCCGTTCGGCTGCACGGCTTGGCTCACAGTCGCGCCTGAACTTCGCTCGAAACTCGACCCGAAAGCGGTTCGCGTTCTCTTCACCGGCTATGACCTGGCTTCTAAAGCCTTCCGTTTCTACGACACGACGACCAAGAAGATCAGTTTGGGCAGAAATGCCAGGTTCCTCGACAACGAATTTCCCGGGTTACGTAGCGACTCCACCGAGCAAGACGCCGACACGCACTTCGCCAGCGCTTGCCCGACCACCGAATCCCAAGCCGTTGTCAAGACATGGACCCCACTAGTAAGGTCGGCGCACATGGACGTCTCATCCTCTCTTGATGACTCTGCCATGAGCGCCGTTGACGTGGCCCCAGGGTACACTGGCGGAACCTTACTTAATTCCACAGATGCCGAATCGTCCTCGTCACCGTCTCCTGAGCCGTCCTCGTCACCGTCGCCCGCAACTCCCTTGTCACCGTCGCCTGCGCTGTCACCGTCGTTGGCTGCGTCATCGTCACCCTCGGCCTTACCGACCGACTCTGACTACTCCGCCGACCCTCTGGACCTCATCGGCTCACAGACCCCGACTCGCCTCGGCCCACCGGACGTGCACCGCCCAGACTTCAGCACGTACCGTGAGCCCGCATCGGCTGAGGAGTCGCCCGACGAACTCGACATCATTGGGCGCCACTCGCGCGATGAATCGCCGGACGAAATCGATTTCCTCACCCAACACCACCGCGCCTTCATCGCCACCGACGACGACAACTCTGACACAGAAGCCATTCAACCAGTCAAGTCCATCACCAGCGACCCACAGACATGGCGCGAGGCAATGTCGAGTGACAAGCGCGAAGTGTGGGCCAAGGCCGCTACCGACGAGTTCAATTCCATGCGCGACGACTTCAAGGTCTTCACCATCGAGGACCGATCCACGGTACCAGCGGGTGCGACCATCGTCACATCCAAGTTCGTCTGGAAAACGAAACGGAATGCACTCGGCGAAGTCACCGGCCACAAGGCACGGCTCGTGGCGCAGGGAAATCGGCAACGCGACGGCATCGACTTCAACGAAACCTTCGCACCAGTCGCACGCTTCTCCTCGATACGCTCACTCCTCGCGCTGGCGGCCGCCAACGGCTTGCACGTGCACCAGGCGGACATCGACAAAGCCTATCTGCATGGCGACCTTGACCATGACATCTGGATGACGACACCGCGCGGCTTCGACCTTCCCACCGACAAGGTGCTTCGTCTGCGACGCTCCATCTACGGACTCAAACAGGCTGGCCGAATCTGGAATCGACACATCGACGCATCGCTTCGAGATCTCGGCTATACGGCGACGGGCACCGACCACTGCGTGTACTCTCGGATCGACGATCGGCGACGCCCACACTACATCGCGCTGTACGTCGACGACCTCCTGATGATCAGCCCCGACTTGGCCGAAATTGAACGTGTCATCTCGGGCCTCGAACAACGCTACGGCGTCAAGCGCCTCGGCCCGGCAGAGTACATCCTCGGCATCCAGATCAGGCGACTCGAAGACGGTTCTATTGCCCTGTCCCAGGAACGGTACATCATGGACGTGCTTGCTCGGTTCCACTTCGACACCACGACTCGCGGCACTACAGTCCCGATGACCCCCGGCCTTTCGCTCACCGCCATCCCGGGTCAAGGCACCGAACGGATCAGGTCATGGTATCTGCAGGCTATCGGCTCGCTCCTCTACATTTCGCTCGGCACCCGCCCCGACATCGCCTTCGCCGTGTCCTACCTGGCCCGCTTCGCCAACAACCCTGGACGTCGTCACTGGATCGCGGTCAAGCACATCCTCCGCTATCTCCGGGCCACATATCGCGACGAACTGGTTTATGCTTGCGGCGAGACACGCATCACGGGCGTGGTTGGCTACTCCGACGCGAACTGGGGGGCCTGCGTCGATACGTCGGTGTCCACTATGGGCTACGTCTTCTACATTGCCGGATCCGCCGTGTCTTGGTCGTCCAAGCGTCAATCTCGAGTTGCCGATTCTACCACCGACGCTGAATACCTCGCCCTCTCGCATGCTGGCAAGGAAGGGATCTACCTCAGTCAGCTGCTCGAGGAGCTCCATGTCCAACCTGTTGCACCGGCTCACATTTTTACTGACAATGAAGCCGCTGCCGCAGTTGCCCACGACCCTGTCCGCGTCTCCGGCACTCGACACATACGCTTGCGCGAGCACTTTGTTCGGGACATGGTGAATCGGGGCGATATCTCACTCTCGCATGTGGGAACCAGCAACATGGTGGCCGACATCTTCACAAAGGCTCTTGGCCCAAAGATTTTCTCGACACACTGCTACGCACTAGGCCTTCGCACTCGACACCCACGGCTTGGATCTGCCTCGCATTCGCGTGGGGGGGGGTGTGAAGAGTCCACTCTCAGCTCGACAGGGGCGCCTCGGTCGTTGCGCGCGCCTGCTAGCCTGGCCCCTGTGGTGGGGACTTAGGCGCGCGCGAGTGCCTCAGCGCGCCGGCGCCGGCGGTTTTCGGGCGCGCGCCGCTAGCCCGCCCTTGCAGTGGGGACTTAGCCGCGCGCGACTGCCTCAGCGCTCCAGCGATTTCGCCCGCGCCTGGGCATATCCCAGCGCGGGCCACCTTTCCATTTCTTAGCTTCCTTCTGATCACTTCTGTTCGACTCTCGACTTCTCCTGACAGTAGTGGTGATCATCTCATACATGGTGTTGCGAGTCGACGGTCGAGTCAGCGGTGTCGGGCTTTTTGCCGTCCTCGAGCGCCTTCTTGCAGTCGAGAGACCAGTGATCCTTCTTCTTGCAGGAGCGACAGGGTCCTGGCGGCGGGTGTTGCGCCCTCGTAGGGCACTCCGCGACTCGGTGCGAAGGGCTGCGACAGGCGAGACACTTGAGACGAGTAGAACGTGACGACGACGAGGCAAGAAGGGCCGATTGAGTGCTGGGGATGTTCGTTGACCGAAGTTGGACTCGCATACGGTCGGCAAGCGAATCAATGTCGGGGAGAGTTCGTTGCGTGCGCTGTTCATCGGTGAACGACGCCTTGAAGCTCTCGAGGGACGGGTGGGCGATTGCAAGGAGGAGTGTGGCGAGAACATCATTGATAGTTGTCTTTGTGTCGATGATCTCTTGCGCAACGGCTTTGAAGTCCATGATCCACCCGTCGAATTCGGCAACCGTGCCGGGCATGGGACGGAAACCCCAGAGTCGTGAGAAGAGCTCGAGCGTGCGGGTGGCGTCGTCAGGGGTGTACCGCGATTTCAGCGTCGAGTAGATTGTCGGCGCTGTCAGGTCGGCGGTAGGGATTTTGTCGAGGACTGCCGAGACTTCGGCCGAGTCAATCGAATTCGCAAGGACCTCACGAGCGACGGCGTCGCGAGCGGAGCGTTGCGAAGGTGTCCAGTCGTCGGGTGCGATACCGTCGAGGACGTACGAGCGGATGTCGTCCGCTAGGCACAGGCGAAGTTGGCGTGTCCAGTTCGCGAAGGTCTTCGCACCATCCAAGCGTGCGTGCTTTGGAAAGGCAGTGCGAGTGGTGCCGGACGTCGTGGCGGGTGTGGCAGTGCCGGAAGCGGCAGCGGTGAGACCCGACAGCAGCGATGTAAGTGCGGCGAGCTGTTCGGCGGGAATCGGAGGGTTGGCACCCGTCGCGAGGGGTGGTGTCGTGGTCATGCCAGCTGGTGGCTCGTGGGCTTATAACCTATGAGACGTTCACCACTACTGTCAGGAGAGGTTGAGAGTCGAACAGAAGTGATGAGAAGGAAGCTAAGAAACAGAAAGGGGGGGGCCACGCTGGGATAGTCCCAGGCGCGTGACAATGTACATCCCTAAGTCAGCCGCGGGTGAAATCGCCGGCGCGCCTAAGTCCCCACCGCAAGGGGGCGGGCTAGCGGGCGCGCGCATGAATCCGCCGGCGCTGGCGCGCTGAGGCAGTCGCGCGCGTCTAAGTCCCCACCGCCGGGGGCGGGCTAGCAAGTGCGCGCAACGACCGAGGCGCCCCTGTCGAGCTGAGAGTGGACTCTTCACACAGAGTCGGTCGGTGAGACCGAGGGTGACGATGACGCTGCCAACGACGGTGACAGCGCAGGCGACGGTGACAAAGGGTTTGTGGGCGACGGTGACGAGGACGGCTCAGGAGACGGTGACGAGGACGATTCGGTATCTGTGGAATTAAGTAAGGTTCCGCCAGTGTACCCTGGGGCCACGTCAACGGCGCTCATGGCAGAATCATCAAGGGAGGATGAGACGTCCATGTGCGCCGACCTTACTAGTGGGGTCCTCGTCTTGACGGCAGGGGCGGGCGTGTCGGCGGGAACGACGAACTGACGGTCGGTGTCGTCTGCATCGACGGGCGTGGTGACTGGCAGGCCGGGGAAGTCGTCGTCGAGGAAGGTGGCATTGCGACCAAGTACAATCTTGTTGATGGAATGGTCAAAGAAACGGAAAGCTTTGGAGGCGAGGTCGTAACCTGTGAAGATCACGCGCGCGGCCTTGGGGTCGAGCTTGCTGCGAAGGTCCGGGGCGACCGTGAGCCAGGCTGTGCAGCCGAACGGGTGGAGGGCGGTGGCGGTGGTGCGTTGGCCGTTCCAAACGGATTCTGGAGTCTGTTTGGCCAAAGCTGAGTGTGAGCACCTGTTTTTGCAATAAACGAAATACGCAGCCGCTTCATCCCAAAAGGTGGCCGGCAGACGGGCGTCCGCAAGGAGAGCGAGGACGCCCTCGACGATGGAGAGGTTGATGTGAAGAGTCCACTCTCAGCTCGACAGGGGCGCCTCGGTCGTTGCGCGCGCCTGCTAGCCTGGCCCCTGTGGTGGGGACTTAGGCGCGCGCGAGTGCCTCAGCGCGCCGGCGCCGGCGGTTTTCGGGCGCGCGCCGCTAGCCCGCCCTTGCAGTGGGGACTTAGCCGCGCGCGACTGCCTCAGCGCTCCAGCGATTTCGCCCGCGCCTGGGCATATCCCAGCGCGGGCCCCCTTTCCATTTCTTAGCTTCCTTCTCATCACTTCTGTTCGACTCTCGACTTCTCCTGACAGTAGTGGTGATCATCTCATAGGTACGCTGAAATAGATCACTTCTGTTCGACTCTCGACTTCTCCTGACAGTAGTGGTGATCATCTCATAGGTTATAAGCCCATCGAGCTACCGCTGGCATGGACACGTCGTCAACCCTCGCGACGAGCGCCACCCCGACAATTCCCGCCGAACAGCTTGCCGCACTTACATCGCTGCTGTCGGGACTCACCGCTGCCGCTTCCGGCACTACCGCACCCGCCACGACATCCGGCTCCAATCGCAATGCCTTCCCGAAGCATGCGCGGTTGGACGGGCCGAAGACGTTCGCGAACTGGACACGCCAGCTTCGCCTGTGCCTAGCGGACGACATCCGCTCCTACGTCCTCGACGGAATCACCCCCGACGATTGGACGCCTTCGCAACGCTCCGCCCGCGACGTCGTGGCACGCGAGATCCTTGCAAACTCAATCGACTCGGCCGAAGTCTCGGCAGTCCTCGACAAGATCCCTACGGCCGACCTCACAGCGCCCAAGATTTACTCGACGCTGAAATCGCGATACGCCCCTGATGACGCCACTCGCACGCTCGAGCTCTTCTCGCGACTCTGGGGCTTCCGACCCATGCCCGGAACGGTTGGCGAATTTGACAGTTGGATCATGGACTTCAAGTCGGTCGCGCAAGAGATCATCGATACGAAAACGACGATCAACGACGTCCTTGCCACACTCCTCCTCGCGATCGCCCACCCGTCACTCGAGAGCTTCAAGGCAACGTTCACCGACGAACAACGCACGCAACGAACTCTCCCTGACATCGATTCAGTGGCCGACCGTATGCGAGTTCAACTCCGGTCAACGAACCTCTCCAACGATCAATCGGCCCTCCTTGCCTCGTCGTCGCCACGTTCTACCCGTACCAAGTGCCTCGCCTGTCGCAGCTCTTCTCACCGCGTCGCACAATGCCCTACAAGGGCCCAGCATCCACCGCCAGGCCCGTGTCGCTCCTGCAAGAAGAAGGACCACTGGTCTTTCGACTGCAAAAAGGCTCTTGAGGACGGGAAAACGCCCGACACCTCTGATGCGCAACACCATGTCGGATGTCTCGCCACCGGTCTTCTCGCACATCGTCGTCAGCTTCGCAACAACTCCTTCGTCGTCGACTCGGGTGCCACTTCGCACATGGTCTCGGACAAGTCGCTGTTCACGGCCTATCGCCACATCGCTCCTACGAAGATTGGTGGTATTGCAGGGGGCATCAACGCCGTCGGAACGGGAAACATCGCCTTTGTTGCCGCCTCCGGTCACCCGATCACGCTTACCGGCGTGCTGCACACCCCGGGCCTGTCTGTCAACCTCCTCTCGGTCTCTCGACTTTGCGACACCGACGATGTCCGTGTCGCCTTCACGAAGCACGGCATCCATATCGACAAGAACGGCAATGCTATCGCTGAAGGCGCAAGACTCGAGGAAGGGCTCTACTTGCTGGACGCTGATCATTCCAAATGTCAGCATCTCGCTCTCCTCTCTCGCTCACAGTCTTCCGTGCCCCTGCTGACCCTTCACCGCTGCCTCGGCCATCTCGCACCGTCGTCCATACAGAAGATGGTTGCCGCTGGTTTGCTGGAAGGTCTCGGGGCCGGATATAGTGACGAAGAGGTAGAGAAGTTTGTCTGCAATGCTTGCCTCAGTGCAAAGGGCCATCGTCTTCCTTTTCCCGATTCGGACTCGCACTCCTCAGAGAGACTCGGCCTCGTACACAGCGATGTGCTTTCCTTTCCCGAGTCGTCCTTGACTGGCAAGCGTTACCTGGTCACGTTTCTTGACGACTTCTCGCGCAAACTGTGGGCATACGCGATCGGACACAAAAGCGAAGTCTTTGGCGTGTTCAAGACATGGCTTGCCGAGGTCGAACTCGAGACGGGTGCAAAACTGAAGGTCCTCCGAACCGACAATGGTGGCGAATACTGTTCGAGAGCGTTCACGGAATTCTGTAAGGCACGCGGCACACGTCGACAATACTCTATCCCTCGAACGCCTCAACAGAACGGTCGTGCCGAACGAGTCAATCGTTCTATCGTCGAAGGTGTCCTTGCCCTCCTTGCAGACGCCCACTTACCCAAATCATTCTGGGAGGAGGCAGCAGCTTATTTCGTCTACTGCAAGAACCTGTGCGAACACTCGGCCCTGGACAAGGTATGAGATGATCACCACTACTGTCAGGAGAAGTCGAGAGTCGAACAGAAGTGATCTATTTCAGCGTACCTATGAGATGATCACCACTACTGTCAGGAGAAGTCGAGAGTCGAACAGAAGTGATGAGAAGGAAGCTAAGAAATGGAAAGGTGGCCCGCGCTGGGATATGCCCAGGCGCGGGCGAAATCGCTGGAGCGCTGAGGCAGTCGCGCGCGGCTAAGTCCCCACTGCAAGGGCGGGCTAGCGGCGCGCGCCCGAAAACCGCCGGCGCCGGCGCGCTGAGGCACTCGCGCGCGCCTAAGTCCCCACCACAGGGGCCAGGCTAGCAGGCGCGCGCAACGACCGAGGCGCCCCTGTCGAGCTGAGAGTGGACTCTTCACACCCCCCCCCACGCGAATGCGAGGCAGATCCAAGCCGTGGGTGTCGAGTGCGAAGGCCTAGTGCGTAGCAGTGTGTCGAGAAAATCTTTGGGCCAAGAGCCTTTGTGAAGATGTCGGCCACCATGTTGCTGGTTCCCACATGCGAGAGTGAGATATCGCCCCGATTCACCATGTCCCGAACAAAGTGCTCGCGCAAGCGTATGTGTCGAGTGCCGGAGACGCGGACAGGGTCGTGGGCAACTGCGGCAGCGGCTTCATTGTCAGTAAAAATGTGAGCCGGTGCAACAGGTTGGACATGGAGCTCCTCGAGCAGCTGACTGAGGTAGATCCCTTCCTTGCCAGCATGCGAGAGGGCGAGGTATTCAGCGTCGGTGGTAGAATCGGCAACTCGAGATTGACGCTTGGACGACCAAGACACGGCGGATCCGGCAATGTAGAAGACGTAGCCCATAGTGGACACCGACGTATCGACGCAGGCCCCCCAGTTCGCGTCGGAGTAGCCAACCACGCCCGTGATGCGTGTCTCGCCGCAAGCATAAACCAGTTCGTCGCGATATGTGGCCCGGAGATAGCGGAGGATGTGCTTGACCGCGATCCAGTGACGACGTCCAGGGTTGTTGGCGAAGCGGGCCAGGTAGGACACGGCGAAGGCGATGTCGGGGCGGGTGCCGAGCGAAATGTAGAGGAGCGAGCCGATAGCCTGCAGATACCATGACCTGATCCGTTCGGTGCCTTGACCCGGGATGGCGGTGAGCGAAAGGCCGGGGGTCATCGGGACTGTAGTGCCGCGAGTCGTGGTGTCGAAGTGGAACCGAGCAAGCACGTCCATGATGTACCGTTCCTGGGACAGGGCAATAGAACCGTCTTCGAGTCGCCTGATCTGCATGCCGAGGATGTACTCTGCCGGGCCGAGGCGCTTGACGCCGTAGCGTTGTTCGAGGCCCGAGATGACACGTTCAATTTCGGCCAAGTCGGGGCTGATCATCAGGAGGTCGTCGACGTACAGCGCGTGTCAGGAGCACAGCCTGCACTGCCATCAATACTCGAAGGAAGTCTCCCAAGTTTGCGGCCGGAGTCGACATCAGCTACCGGTTTGTTCGTTGCAAGCATTGTCGGCGCGATGGTGTAGTCGTGAGGGCGCGCGGGCGCGCACTCAGTGGTCGAGGGTTCGATCCGCCCGGAGCGTGATCTGCCTTTTGGTTTCTTTTCCTTTTTGTTATCCGAGGCCCGGCTTCGGGGTTTTTACCGGTGCCTTGCAGGCAATCCTTTTTACCCCTGAAGCGACCTCGTGGTGTAGTTATTTGATTCAGTCTTTCCTTCGCTGGGAGCACTTCCCTCCCTTTGCTTTTGCCACCCTTCCCCTAGAGCTTGGTCCACTCATTATCATGACTCGTACCCTCCCTCTTTTTACCCATTTCGCTGGCAATTAAGTCCGTTACACTTGATTTGCTGCGAAGCCTTCCGACCGAATCCACTCCTCGGTTGCTCTCGGTCGACTGCCGCCGCCCAGCCGACTCGACCTTCCCATCGGCCTGGTCAGCTATTTCTTGGATCGTTTGCCCTTCCTCTTTTGTCCGACCTCGTTGGCCACCATAGTCCGGTACACTGGACTTGCTGCGAGCCTTGCAGCCGCGTATCCTCCGCGGTTGCCTCTCGGTCGACTTCCGCCGCCCAGCCGACTCGACCTTCCCACCGGCCTGGTCAGCTATTTCTTGGATCGTTTGCCCTCCCTCTTCTGTCCGACCTCGTTGGCTACCATAGTTCGGTACACTGGACTTGCTGCGAGCCTTGCAGCCGCGTATCCTCCGCGGTTGCCTCTCGGTCGACTGCCGCCGCCTCGGTCGACACCCCTTTCGCTCCTTCGCGCTTTCGCGCGCTCTCTCGCTCTCTCCCTCGTCTCTCGCGTGTAGTCATCGTCATCCCCTCCGACGTTGCCTGTCAGCGCGATGTAGTGTGGGCGTCGCCGATCGTCGATCCGAGAGTACACGCAGTGGTCGGTGCCCGTCGCCGTATAGCCGAGATCTCGAAGCGATGCGTCGATGTGTCGATTCCAGATTCGGCCAGCCTGTTTGAGTCCGTAGATGGAGCGTCGCAGACGAAGCACCTTGTCGGTGGGAAGGTCGAAGCCGCGCGGTGTCGTCATCCAGATGTCATGGTCAAGGTCGCCATGCAGATAGGCTTTGTCGATGTCCGCCTGGTGCACGTGCAAGCCGTTGGCGGCCGCCAGCGCGAGGAGTGAGCGTATCGAGGAGAAGCGTGCGACTGGTGCGAAGGTTTCGTTGAAGTCGATGCCGTCGCGTTGCCGATTTCCCTGCGCCACGAGCCGTGCCTTGTGGCCGGTGACTTCGCCGAGTGCATTCCGTTTCGTTTTCCAGACGAACTTGGATGTGACGATGGTCGCACCCGCTGGTACCGTGGATCGGTCCTCGATGGTGAAGACCTTGAAGTCGTCGCGCATGGAATTGAACTCGTCGGTAGCGGCCTTGGCCCACACTTCGCGCTTGTCACTCGACATTGCCTCGCGCCATGTCTGTGGGTCGCTGGTGATGGACTTGACTGGTTGAATGGCTTCTGTGTCAGAGTTGTCGTCGTCGGTGGCGATGAAGGCGCGGTGGTGTTGGGTGAGGAAATCGATTTCGTCCGGCGATTCATCGCGCGAGTGGCGCCCAATGATGTCGAGTTCGTCGGGCGACTCCTCAGCCGATGCGGGCTCACGGTACGTGCTGAAGTCTGGGCGGTGCACGTCCGGTGGGCCGAGGCGAGTCGGGGTCTGTGAGCCGATGAGGTCCAGAGGGTCGGCGGAGTAGTCAGAGTCGGTCGGTAAGGCCGAGGGTGACGATGACGCAGCCAACGACGGTGACAGCGCAGGCGACGGTGACAAGGGAGTTGCGGGCGACGGTGACGAGGACGGCTCAGGAGACGGTGACGAGGACGATTCGGCATCTGTGGAATTAAGTAAGGTTCCGCCAGTGTACCCTGGGGCCACGTCAACGGCGCTCATGGCAGAGTCATCAAGAGAGGATGAGACGTCCATGTGCGCCGACCTTACTAGTGGGGTCCATGTCTTGACAACGGCTTGGGATTCGGTGGTCGGGCAAGCGCTGGCGAAGTGCGTGTCGGCGTCTTGCTCGGTGGAGTCGCTACGTAACCCGGGAAATTCGTTGTCGAGGAACCTGGCATTTCTGCCCAAACTGATCTTCTTGGTCGTCGTGTCGTAGAAACGGAAGGCTTTAGAAGCCAGGTCATAGCCGGTGAAGAGAACGCGAACCGCTTTCGGGTCGAGTTTCGAGCGAAGTTCAGGCGCGACTGTGAGCCAAGCCGTGCAGCCGAACGGGTGAAGCGCCGAGGCGTTGGTGCGGTCGCCCTGCCAGGCGAAGTTCGGTGTTGCCTTGTCCAGGGCCGAGTGTTCGCACAGGTTCTTGCAGTAGACGAAATAAGCTGCTGCCTCCTCCCAGAATGATTTGGGTAAGTGGGCGTCTGCAAGGAGGGCAAGGACACCTTCGACGATAGAACGATTGACTCGTTCGGCACGACCGTTCTGTTGAGGCGTTCGAGGGATAGAGTATTGTCGACGTGTGCCGCGTGCCTTACAGAATTCCGTGAACGCTCTCGAACAGTATTCGCCACCATTGTCGGTTCGGAGGACCTTCAGTTTTGCATCCGTCTCGAGTTCGACCTCGGCAAGCCATGTCTTGAACACGCCAAAGACTTCGCTTTTGTGTCCGATCGCGTATGCCCACAGTTTGCGCGAGAAGTCGTCAAGAAACGTGACCAGGTAACGCTTGCCAGTCAAGGACGACTCGGGAAAGGAAAGCACATCGCTGTGTACGAGGCCGAGTCTCTCTGAGGAGTGCGAGTCCGAATCGGGAAAAGGAAGACGATGGCCCTTTGCACTGAGGCAAGCATTGCAGACAAACTTCTCTACCTCTTCGTCACTATATCCGGCCCCGAGACCTTCCAGCAAACCAGCGGCAACCATCTTCTGTATGGACGACGGTGCGAGATGGCCGAGGCAGCGGTGAAGGGTCAGCAGGGGCACGGAAGACTGTGAGCGAGAGAGGAGAGCGAGATGCTGACATTTGGAATGATCAGCGTCCAGCAAGTAGAGCCCTTCCTCGAGTCTTGCGCCTTCAGCGATAGCATTGCCGTTCTTGTCGATATGGATGCCGTGCTTCGTGAAGGCGACACGGACATCGTCGGTGTCGCAAAGTCGAGAGACCGAGAGGAGGTTGACAGACAGGCCCGGGGTGTGCAACACGCCGGTAAGCGTGATCGGGTGACCGGAGGCGGCAACAAAGGCGATGTTTCCCGTTCCGACGGCGTTGATGCCCCCTGCAATACCACCAATCTTCGTAGGAGCGATGTGGCGATAGGCCGTGAACAGCGACTTGTCCGAGACCATGTGCGAAGTGGCACCCGAGTCGACGACGAAGGAGTTGTTGCGAAGCTGACGACGATGTGCGAGAAGACCGGTGGCGAGACATCCGACATGGTGTTGCGCATCAGAGGTGTCGGGCGTTTTCCCGTCCTCAAGAGCCTTTTTGCAGTCGAAAGACCAGTGGTCCTTCTTCTTGCAGGAGCGACACGGGCCTGGCGGTGGATGCTGGGCCCTTGTAGGGCATTGTGCGACGCGGTGAGAAGGGCTGCGACAGGCGAGGCACTTGGTACGGGTAGAACGTGGCGACGACGAGGCAAGGAGGGCCGATTGATCGTTGGAGAGGTTCGTTGACCGGAGTTGAACTCGCATACGGTCGGCCACTGAATCGATGTCAGGGAGAGTTCGTTGCGTGCGTTGTTCGTTGGTGAACGTTGCCTTGAAGCTCTCGAGTGACGGGTGGGCGATCGCGAGGAGGAGTGTGGCAAGGACGTCGTTGATCGTCGTTTTCGTATCGATGATCTCTTGCGCGACCGACTTGAAGTCCATGATCCAACTGTCAAATTCGCCAACCGTTCCGGGCATGGGTCGGAAGCCCCAGAGTCGCGAGAAGAGCTCGAGCGTGCGAGTGGCGTCATCAGGGGCGTATCGCGATTTCAGCGTCGAGTAAATCTTGGGCGCTGTGAGGTCGGCCGTAGGGATCTTGTCGAGGACTGCCGAGACTTCGGCCGAGTCGATTGAGTTTGCAAGGATCTCGCGTGCCACGACGTCGCGGGCGGAGCGTTGCGAAGGCGTCCAATCGTCGGGGGTGATTCCGTCGAGGACGTAGGAGCGGATGTCGTCCGCTAGGCACAGGCGAAGCTGGCGTGTCCAGTTCGCGAACGTCTTCGGCCCGTCCAACCGCGCATGCTTCGGGAAGGCATTGCGATTGGAGCCGGATGTCGTGGCGGGTGCGGTAGTGCCGGAAGCGGCAGCGGTGAGTCCCGACAGCAGCGATGTAAGTGCGGCAAGCTGTTCGGCGGGAATTGTCGGGGTGGCGCTCGTCGCGAGGGTTGACGACGTGTCCATGCCAGCGGTAGCTCGATGGGCTTATAACCTATGAGATGATCACCACTACTGTCAGGAGAAGTCGAGAGTCGAACAGAAGTGATCTATTTCAGCGTACCTATGAGATGATCACCACTACTGTCAGGAGAAGTCGAGAGTCGAACAGAAGTTGTCAGGAGCACAGCCTGCACTGCCATCAATACTCGAAGGAAGTCTCCCAAGTTTGCGGCCGGAGTCGACATCAGCTACCGGTTTGTTCGTTGCAAGCATTGTCGGCGCGATGGTGTAGTCGTGAGGGCGCGCGGGCGCGCACTCAGTGGTCGAGGGTTCGATCCGCCCGGAGCGTGATCTGCCTTTTGGTTTCTTTTCCTTTTTGTTATCCGAGGCCCGGCTTCGGGGTTTTTACCGGTGCCTTGCAGGCAATCCTTTTTACCCCTGAAGCGACCTCGTGGTGTAGTTATTTGATTCAGTCTTTCCTTCGCTCGGAGCACTTCCCTCCTTTTGCTTTTGCCACCCTTCCCCTAGAGCTTGGTCCACTCATTATCATGACTCGTACCCTCCCTCTTTTTACCCATTTCGCTGGCAATTAAGTCCGTTACACTTGATTTGCTGCGAAGCCTTCCGACCGAATCCACTCCTCGGTTGCTCTCGGTCGACTGCCGCCGCCCAGCCGACTCGACCTTCCCATCGGCCTGGTCAGCTATTTCTTGGATCGTTTGCCCTTCCTCTTTTGTCCGACCTCGTTGGCCACCATAGTCCGGTACACTGGACTTGCTGCGAGCCTTGCAGCCGCGTATCCTCCGCGGTTGCCTCTCGGTCGACTTCCGCCGCCCAGCCGACTCGACCTTCCCACCGGCCTGGTCAGCTATTTCTTGGATCGTTTGCCCTCCCTCTTCTGTCCGACCTCGTTGGCTACCATAGTTCGGTACACTGGACTTGCTGCGAGCCTTGCAGCCGCGTATCCTCCGCGGTTGCCTCTCGGTCGACTGCCGCCGCCTCGGTCGACACCCCCTTCGCTCCTTCGCGCTTTCGCGCGCTCTCTCGCTCTCTCCCTCGTCTCTCGCGTGTAGTCATCGTCATCCCCTCCGACGTTGCCTGTCAGAAGTGATGAGAAGGAAGCTAAGAAATGGAAAGGTGGCCCGCGCTGGGATATGCCCAGGCGCGGGCGAAATCGCTGGAGCGCTGAGGCAGTCGCGCGCGGCTAAGTCCCCACTGCAAGGGCGGGCTAGCGGCGCGCGCCCGAAAACCGCCGGCGCCGGCGCGCTGAGGCACTCGCGCGCGCCTAAGTCCCCACCACAGGGGCCAGGCTAGCAGGCGCGCGCAACGACCGAGGCGCCCCTGTCGAGCTGAGAGTGGACTCTTCACACAAGGCAACACCGAACTTCGCCTGGCAGGGCGACCGCACCAACGCCTCGGCGCTTCACCCGTTCGGCTGCACGGCTTGGCTCACAGTCGCGCCTGAACTTCGCTCGAAACTCGACCCGAAAGCGGTTCGCGTTCTCTTCACCGGCTATGACCTGGCTTCTAAAGCCTTCCGTTTCTACGACACGACGACCAAGAAGATCAGTTTGGGCAGAAATGCCAGGTTCCTCGACAACGAATTTCCCGGGTTACGTAGCGACTCCACCGAGCAAGACGCCGACACGCACTTCGCCAGCGCTTGCCCGACCACCGAATCCCAAGCCGTTGTCAAGACATGGACCCCACTAGTAAGGTCGGCGCACATGGACGTCTCATCCTCTCTTGATGACTCTGCCATGAGCGCCGTTGACGTGGCCCCAGGGTACACTGGCGGAACCTTACTTAATTCCACAGATGCCGAATCGTCCTCGTCACCGTCTCCTGAGCCGTCCTCGTCACCGTCGCCCGCAACCCCCTTGTCACCGTCGCCTGCGCTGTCACCGTCGTTGGCTGCGTCATCGTCACCCTCGGCCTTACCGACCGACTCTGACTACTCCGCCGACCCTCTGGACCTCATCGGCTCACAGACCCCGACTCGCCTCGGCCCACCGGACGTGCACCGCCCAGACTTCAGCACGTACCGTGAGCCCGCATCGGCTGAGGAGTCGCCCGACGAACTCGACATCATTGGGCGCCACTCGCGCGATGAATCGCCGGACGAAATCGATTTCCTCACCCAACACCACCGCGCCTTCATCGCCACCGACGACGACAACTCTGACACAGAAGCCATTCAACCAGTCAAGTCCATCACCAGCGACCCACAGACATGGCGCGAGGCAATGTCGAGTGACAAGCGCGAAGTGTGGGCCAAGGCCGCTACCGACGAGTTCAATTCCATGCGCGACGACTTCAAGGTCTTCACCATCGAGGACCGATCCACGGTACCAGCGGGTGCGACCATCGTCACATCCAAGTTCGTCTGGAAAACGAAACGGAATGCACTCGGCGAAGTCACCGGCCACAAGGCACGGCTCGTGGCGCAGGGAAATCGGCAACGCGACGGCATCGACTTCAACGAAACCTTCGCACCAGTCGCACGCTTCTCCTCGATACGCTCACTCCTCGCGCTGGCGGCCGCCAACGGCTTGCACGTGCACCAGGCGGACATCGACAAAGCCTATCTGCATGGCGACCTTGACCATGACATCTGGATGACGACACCGCGCGGCTTCGACCTTCCCACCGACAAGGTGCTTCGTCTGCGACGCTCCATCTACGGACTCAAACAGGCTGGCCGAATCTGGAATCGACACATCGACGCATCGCTTCGAGATCTCGGCTATACGGCGACGGGCACCGACCACTGCGTGTACTCTCGGATCGACGATCGGCGACGCCCACACTACATCGCGCTGTACGTCGACGACCTCCTGATGATCAGCCCCGACTTGGCCGAAATTGAACGTGTCATCTCGGGCCTCGAACAACGCTACGGCGTCAAGCGCCTCGGCCCGGCAGAGTACATCCTCGGCATGCAGATCAGGCGACTCGAAGACGGTTCTATTGCCCTGTCCCAGGAACGGTACATCATGGACGTGCTTGCTCGGTTCCACTTCGACACCACGACTCGCGGCACTACAGTCCCGATGACCCCCGGCCTTTCGCTCACCGCCATCCCGGGTCAAGGCACCGAACGGATCAGGTCATGGTATCTGCAGGCTATCGGCTCGCTCCTCTACATTTCGCTCGGCACCCGCCCCGACATCGCCTTCGCCGTGTCCTACCTGGCCCGCTTCGCCAACAACCCTGGACGTCGTCACTGGATCGCGGTCAAGCACATCCTCCGCTATCTCCGGGCCACATATCGCGACGAACTGGTTTATGCTTGCGGCGAGACACGCATCACGGGCGTGGTTGGCTACTCCGACGCGAACTGGGGGGCCTGCGTCGATACGTCGGTGTCCACTATGGGCTACGTCTTCTACATTGCCGGATCCGCCGTGTCTTGGTCGTCCAAGCGTCAATCTCGAGTTGCCGATTCTACCACCGACGCTGAATACCTCGCCCTCTCGCATGCTGGCAAGGAAGGGATCTACCTCAGTCAGCTGCTCGAGGAGCTCCATGTCCAACCTGTTGCACCGGCTCACATTTTTACTGACAATGAAGCCGCTGCCGCAGTTGCCCACGACCCTGTCCGCGTCTCCGGCACTCGACACATACGCTTGCGCGAGCACTTTGTTCGGGACATGGTGAATCGGGGCGATATCTCACTCTCGCATGTGGGAACCAGCAACATGGTGGCCGACATCTTCACAAAGGCTCTTGGCCCAAAGATTTTCTCGACACACTGCTACGCACTAGGCCTTCGCACTCGACACCCACGGCTTGGATCTGCCTCGCATTCGCGTGGGGGGGGGTGTGAAGAGTCCACTCTCAGCTCGACAGGGGCGCCTCGGTCGTTGCGCGCGCCTGCTAGCCTGGCCCCTGTGGTGGGGACTTAGGCGCGCGCGAGTGCCTCAGCGCGCCGGCGCCGGCGGTTTTCGGGCGCGCGCCGCTAGCCCGCCCTTGCAGTGGGGACTTAGCCGCGCGCGACTGCCTCAGCGCTCCAGCGATTTCGCCCGCGCCTGGGCATATCCCAGCGCGGGCCCCCTTTCCATTTCTTAGCTTCCTTCTCATCACTTCTGTTCGACTCTCGACTTCTCCTGACAGTAGTGGTGATCATCTCATAGGTACGCTGAAATAGATCACTTCTGTTCGACTCTCGACTTCTCCTGACAGTAGTGGTGATCATCTCATAGTTGACACGTTCGGCGCGACCGTTTTGTTGAGGCGTGTAAGGGATAGAGTATTGACGACGAATGCCCTTGGATTTGCAGAACTCCGTGAATGCGTTTGATCGGTACTCCCCGCCATTGTCGGTTCGAAGGATCCTCAACCGCGCGTTCGTCTCTAACTCCACTTCGGCGAGCCAAGTCTGGAAGGTCGGGAAAACATCGCTTTTGTGATCGATCGCATATGCCCAGAGTTTGCGAGAGTGGTCGTCTAGAAACGTGACAAGGTAGCGCTTCCCGGTCAAGGACGGAGTGGGGAACGACAGGACGTCGCTGTGCACGAGGCCAAGTCTCTCGGCGGAATGCGACTCAGAGTCGGGAAAGGGAAGGCGGTGACCTTTGGAACCAAGGCAAGCATTGCAAACAAACTCCTCTACGTCTTTGTCACTGTACCCGGTGTGAAGAGTCCACTCTCAGCTCGACAGGGGCGCCTCGGTCGTTGCGCGCGCCTGCTAGCCTGGCCCCTGTGGTGGGGACTTAGGCGCGCGCGAGTGCCTCAGCGCGCCGGCGCCGGCGGTTTTCGGGCGCGCGCCGCTAGCCCGCCCTTGCAGTGGGGACTTAGCCGCGCGCGACTGCCTCAGCGCTCCAGCGATTTCGCCCGCGCCTGGGCATATCCCAGCGCGGGCCACCTTTCCATTTCTTAGCTTCCTTCTCATCACTTCTGTTCGACTCTCGACTTCTCCTGACAGTAGTGGTGATCATCTCATAGGTACGCTGAAATAGATCACTTCTGTTCGACTCTCGACTTCTCCTGACAGTAGTGGTGATCATCTCATAGGTTATAAGCCCATCGAGCTACCGCTGGCATGGACACGTCGTCAACCCTCGCGACGAGCGCCACCCCGACAATTCCCGCCGAACAGCTTGCCGCACTTACATCGCTGCTGTCGGGACTCACCGCTGCCGCTTCCGGCACTACCGCACCCGCCACGACATCCGGCTCCAATCGCAATGCCTTCCCGAAGCATGCGCGGTTGGACGGGCCGAAGACGTTCGCGAACTGGACACGCCAGCTTCGCCTGTGCCTAGCGGACGACATCCGCTCCTACGTCCTCGACGGAATCACCCCCGACGATTGGACGCCTTCGCAACGCTCCGCCCGCGACGTCGTGGCACGCGAGATCCTTGCAAACTCAATCGACTCGGCCGAAGTCTCGGCAGTCCTCGACAAGATCCCTACGGCCGACCTCACAGCGCCCAAGATTTACTCGACGCTGAAATCGCGATACGCCCCTGATGACGCCACTCGCACGCTCGAGCTCTTCTCGCGACTCTGGGGCTTCCGACCCATGCCCGGAACGGTTGGCGAATTTGACAGTTGGATCATGGACTTCAAGTCGGTCGCGCAAGAGATCATCGATACGAAAACGACGATCAACGACGTCCTTGCCACACTCCTCCTCGCGATCGCCCACCCGTCACTCGAGAGCTTCAAGGCAACGTTCACCAACGAACAACGCACGCAACGAACTCTCCCTGACATCGATTCAGTGGCCGACCGTATGCGAGTTCAACTCCGGTCAACGAACCTCTCCAACGATCAATCGGCCCTCCTTGCCTCGTCGTCGCCACGTTCTACCCGTACCAAGTGCCTCGCCTGTCGCAGCCCTTCTCACCGCGTCGCACAATGCCCTACAAGGTATTCGATCAACTCTACTACGTCAGCGATGTAGTTATAGCCAAGAGTGATGAATAGGAAGCTAACAATAAGAGACCCGCGCGCCCCAAGTCCACAGCCAGCGAGCCTGGGGCTGAGCCAATGGCCCAGGCTCGCTCCGCGCGCCTAAGTCCCAGGCTCGCTTCGCGCGCCTAAGTCCTGGGCCGGGGCGCCCGGCTCACTCCGCGCGCCTAAGTCCGCGCCCGGTTCGCTCCGCGCGCCTAAGTCCTGAGCCGAGCGGAGAGTGGATTCCTCACACCCCCCCCCACGCGAACGCGAGGTAGACTTGAGCCGTGGATGTCGCGTCCGGAGGCCTAGAGCATAGCAATGTGTACCAAAAATCTTGGGGCCTAGCGCCTTGGTGAATACGTCCGCAACCATGTCTGCTGTGCCAACGTGTGAGAGAGAGATATCACCTCGATTGACCATGTCACGGACAAAATGCTCGCGGAGGCGAATGTGCCGGGTGCCGGAGGTGCGAACGGGGTCGTGAGCGACGGCGGCCGCGGCCTCGTTGTCGGTGAAGATGTGAGCTGCAGCGATTGGGCAAACGTGGAGCTCGGAGAGGAGTTGGTTAAGGTAGATCGCTTCCTTACCCGCGTGCGACAAGGCCAGGTACTCGGCATCAGTGGTGGAATCCGCTACCCGAGTCTGACGCTTCGACGACCAAGAGACAGCGGCGCCTGCCAAGTAAAATACGTAGCCCATCGTTGAAATGGATGTGTCGACGCAGGCGCCCCAGTTCGCATCAGAATAACCAACCACACCCGTGACTTTTGCTGGGCCGCGGGCATAGAGAAGCTCATCGCGGTACGTGGCGCGAAGGTAGCGAAGGACGTGTTTGACGGCAATCCAATGGCGGCGGCCGGGGTTGTTGGCGAACCGGGACAGGTACGAGACGGCGAAGGCAATGTCGGGTCGAGTGCCAAGGGAGATGTAGAGGAGGGAGCCGATGGCCTGTAGGTACCACGAACGAATGCGCTCCGTTCCCTGACCCGGAATTGCCGTGAGCGAGAGGCCGGGCGTCATCGGCACCGTAGTGCCGCGTGTCGTGGTGTCGAAGTGGAAACGGGCCAGCACGTCCATGATGTAGCGCTCCTGGGATAGAGCAATGGAACCGTCGTCCAGGCGGCGTATTTGGATTCCGAGGATGTACTCCGCGGGGCCGAGTCGTTTGACGCCGTACCGCTGTTCAAGGCCGGAGATGACACGTTCGATCTCGTCGAGGGCTGGACTGACAATGAGGAGGTCGTCGACATACAAGGCGATATAGTGAGGCCGCTGCTGATCGTCAATGCGAGAGTAAATGCAGTGATCAGTGCCTGTTGCCTTGTACCCCAGATTCCTGAGTGATGTGTCAATGTGACGATTCCAGATGCGACCGGCCTGCTTGAGACCGTAGATTGAGCGTCGCAGCCGGAGAACCTTATCGCTCGGGAAGTCGAAACCGCGTGGTGTCGTCATCCAGATATCATGATCGAGCTCGCCGTGGAGGTAAGCCTTGTCGATGTCGGCCTGATGAACGTGGTAGCCATTGGCAGCGGCAAGAGCCAGGAGGCAGCGAATGGAGGAGAAACGGGCGACGGGTGCGAAGGTTTCTGAGAAGTCGATGCCGTCGCGCTGTCGGTTACCCTGCGCTACAAGACGTGCCTTCCGCCCCGTGACTTCACCGCTTGCGTTGCGCTTGGTCTTCCAGACGAATTTGGAGGTGACGATGGTGGCGCCCGGCGGTACAGATGAGCGAGGCTCGATGGTGAACACCTTGAAGTCGTCGCGCATGGCGGTGAACTCGGCGGCGGCGGCCTCAGCCCAGATGTTGTGCTCGTCGCTGGACATTGCTTCGCGCCAGGTCTGGGGGTCGCTAGTGATCGATTTGACGGGCTCGATGGCGTCGAGGGTGGGGTCGTCGTCGTCTGTGGCGATGAAGGCGCGGTGGTGTTGGGTGAGGAAATCGATTTCATCCGGCGATTCATCGCGTGAGTGACGCCCAATGATGTCGAGTTCGTCGGGCGACTCCTCAGCCGATGCGGGCTCACGGTACGTGCTGAAGTCTGGGCGGTGCACGTCCGGTGGGCCAAGGCGAGTCGGGGTCTGTGAGCCGATGAGGTCCAGAGGGTCGGCGGAGTAGTCAGAGTCGGTCGGTGAGACCGAGGGTGACGATGACGCTGCCAACGACGGTGACAGCGCAGGCGACGGTGACAAAGGGTTTGTGGGCGACGGTGACGAGGACGGCTCAGGAGACGGTGACGAGGACGATTCGGTATCTGTGGAATTAAGTAAGGTTCCGCCAGTGTACCCTGGGGCCACGTCAACGGCGCTCATGGCAGAATCATCAAGGGAGGATGAGACGTCCATGTGCGCCGACCTTACTAGTGGGGTCCTCGTCTTGACGGCAGGGGCGGGCGTGTCGGCGGGAACGACGAACTGACGGTCGGTGTCGTCTGCATCGACGGGCGTGGTGACTGGCAGGCCGGGGAAGTCGTCGTCGAGGAAGGTGGCATTGCGACCAAGTACAATCTTGTTGATGGAATGGTCAAAGAAACGGAAAGCTTTGGAGGCGAGGTCGTAACCTGTGAAGATCACGCGCGCGGCCTTGGGGTCGAGCTTGCTGCGAAGGTCCGGGGCGACCGTGAGCCAGGCTGTGCAGCCGAACGGGTGGAGGGCGGTGGCGGTGGTGCGTTGGCCGTTCCAAACGGATTCTGGAGTCTGTTTGGCCAAAGCTGAGTGTGAGCACCTGTTTTTGCAATAAACGAAATACGCAGCCGCTTCATCCCAAAAGGTGGCCGGCAGACGGGCGTCCGCAAGGAGAGCGAGGACGCCCTCGACGATGGAGAGGTTGACACGTTCGGCGCGACCGTTTTGTTGAGGCGTGTAAGGGATAGAGTATTGACGACGAATGCCCTTGGATTTGCAGAACTCCGTGAATGCGTTTGATCGGTACTCCCCGCCATTGTCGGTTCGAAGGATCCTCAACCGCGCGTTCGTCTCTAACTCCACTTCGGCGAGCCAAGTCTGGAAGGTCGGGAAAACATCGCTTTTGTGATCGATCGCATATGCCCAGAGTTTGCGAGAGTGGTCGTCTAGAAACGTGACAAGGTAGCGCTTCCCGGTCAAGGACGGAGTGGGGAACGACAGGACGTCGCTGTGCACGAGGCCAAGTCTCTCGGCGGAATGCGACTCAGAGTCGGGAAAGGGAAGGCGGTGACCTTTGGAACCAAGGCAAGCATTGCAAACAAACTCCTCTACGTCTTTGTCACTGTACCCGGCCCCAAACCCGTCCAGCAAACCTGCAGCAATCATCTTCTGTATAGAGGATGGGGCAAGATGGCCGAGGCAGCGGTGTAGGGTAAGCAGGGGCACGGGAGACTCAGAGCGTGAGAGGAAGGCAAGATGCTGACACTTGGTGTGATCCGCGTCCAAAAGGTAAAGACCGTCGTTGACCCTGGTACCGTGAGCAATGGCCCGGCCGTCCTTGGCGATGTCGATGCCGTCGCTGGTGAAGGCGAGACGAACGCGGTCGGTGTCGCAGAGGCGAGAGACAGAGAGGAGGTTGACGTGTAGGCCAGGCGTGTGAAGAACACCACGGAGCGTGATCGGGTGTCCAGTCTTGGCGACGAATGCCACGTCCCCCATGCCGATAGCCGTGATGCCGCCCGCGATGCCGCCGATCTTGGTGTGTGCCGTCTGACGATAAGTCGTGAATAGAGATCGGTCGGCGACCATGTGTGTCGTGGCACCCGAATCGACTACAAAGGCGTCAGTTGGGAGTTGGCGACGAGCGAAGAGACAGGAGGCGAAATAGCCGACGTTCGGTTGCGAGGCCGCGGAGGAAGACGTGTCGTCCTGGGTGTCGTCGCTGCTACGTGCCTGTTCACCCCGGTTCTTGCAGTCGAGTGCCCAGTGACCTTTCTTGTGGCATCGGCGGCAGGGGCCGGTGGGCGGGTGCTTCGCACGTGAAGTGCAGTCGCGCAGGCGGTGACCGGGAGCGCGGCAGGCGGGGCAAGGGGAGCGCGTGGCAAGCATGGCCGAATGCGAGGTCGAGAGTCCTGCCGAACGAAGCTGGATGCGAATGCGGTCCGTAAGCGTCGTGAGTTCGGGAAGGTCGCGTCGGTTTCGCTGCTCGTCCGTGAACGTGAGTCGGAAGCTGTCGAGGCAAGACGGGACCATGGCGAGCACGTGGGTGGCGAGCACGTCGTTGAGCGATGTTTTGGCGTCGCGTATTTCCTGAGCAATCGACATGTACTCGCGTAGCCAAGTGTCGTAGGCCTCGACGGAGGCAGGCATCTTCCTGAAGTCCCAAAGGCGAGCGAACAACTCGAGAGTGCGTGTAGCGTCGTCCGGTGCAAAACGAGCCTTGAGAGCGGCAAAGATGCGCGGTGCCGACAGGTCGTCGCTGGGGATGGCGTCGAGGGTGGCCGATACGTCGGCGGAGTCGATAGAGCCAACGATGATTTCCCGGGCGGCGTCGTCACGTGCGGCAAGCTGGTCGGCGGTCCAGGTCGGGGGAACGACACCGTCGAGAACGTAACCACGAACCTGGTTCGGGAGTGCAAGACGGAGTTGACGCAACCAGTTGGTGAACGACTTGGGGCCGTCCAGACGAGCGTGCTTGGGAAACACGACCTTGGATGCGGTGGCGGCGTTCCCCGGCACGATGGTGACGGCCGGGGGTGCGGCGGCTGCGGCGGCGGCGGGTTGCGAGGCCTGCAGAGCGGCAAGCTGGGCCTGTAGAGTGGCGATTTGTTCGCCGATCGAAGATTCAGGGGAGCTGGGATCCCTGGGGGCCAAAGGCGAGGCGGGAGAGCTGTCCATGATGTGATGGTGCGATGGACGTGTGCGGCTCGAGTGGCTGGGCTCGAGCGAAAAAGCCTCAAGCGGAGCAGCTGGTAGCTCGTTGGGCTCATAACCTATTCGATCAACTCTACTACGTCAGCGATGTAGTTATAGCCAAGAGTGATGAATAGGAAGCTAACAATAAGAGACCCGCGCGCCCCAAGTCCACAGCCAGCGAGCCTGGGGCTGAGCCAATGGCCCAGGCTCGCTCCGCGCGCCTAAGTCCCAGGCTCGCTTCGCGCGCCTAAGTCCTGGGCCGGGGCGCCCGGCTCACTCCGCGCGCCTAAGTCCGCGCCCGGTTCGCTCCGCGCGCCTAAGTCCTGAGCCGAGCGGAGAGTGGATTCCTCACACAAGGGCCCAGCATCCACCGCCAGGCCCGTGTCGCTCCTGCAAGAAGAAGGACCACTGGTCTTTCGACTGCAAAAAGGCTCTTGAGGACGGGAAAACGCCCGACACCTCTGATGCGCAACACCATGTCGGATGTCTCGCCACCGGTCTTCTCGCACATCGTCGTCAGCTTCGCAACAACTCCTTCGTCGTCGACTCGGGTGCCACTTCGCACATGGTCTCGGACAAGTCGCTGTTCACGGCCTATCGCCACATCGCTCCTACGAAGATTGGTGGTATTGCAGGGGGCATCAACGCCGTCGGAACGGGAAACATCTGTGAAGAGTCCACTCTCAGCTCGACAGGGGCGCCTCGGTCGTTGCGCGCACTTGCTAGCCCGCCCCCGGCGGTGGGGACTTAGACGCGCGCGACTGCCTCAGCGCGCCAGCGCCGGCGGATTCATGCGCGCGCCCGCTAGCCCGCCCCCTTGCGGTGGGGACTTAGGCGCGCCGGCGATTTCACCCGCGGCTGACTTAGGGATGTACATTGTCACGCGCCTGGGACTATCCCAGCGTGGCCCCCCCCTTTCTGTTTCTTAGCTTCCTTCTCATCACTTCTGTTCGACTCTCAACCTCTCCTGACAGTAGTGGTGAACGTCTCATAGGTTATAAGCCCACGAGCCACCAGCTGGCATGACCACGACACCACCCCTCGCGACGGGTGCCAACCCTCCGATTCCCGCCGAACAGCTCGCCGCACTTACATCGCTGCTGTCGGGTCTCACCGCTGCCGCTTCCGGCACTGCCACACCCGCCACGACGTCCGGCACCACTCGCACTGCCTTTCCAAAGCACGCACGCTTGGATGGTGCGAAGACCTTCGCGAACTGGACACGCCAACTTCGCCTGTGCCTAGCGGACGACATCCGCTCGTACGTCCTCGACGGTATCGCACCCGACGACTGGACACCTTCGCAACGCTCCGCTCGCGACGCCGTCGCTCGTGAGGTCCTTGCGAATTCGATTGACTCGGCCGAAGTCTCGGCAGTCCTCGACAAAATCCCTACCGCCGACCTGACAGCGCCGACAATCTACTCGACGCTGAAATCGCGGTACGCCCCTGACGACGCCACCCGCACGCTCGAGCTCTTCTCACGACTCTGGGGTTTCCGTCCCATGCCCGGCACGGTTGCCGAATTCGACGGGTGGATCATGGACTTCAAAGCCGTTGCGCAAGAGATCATCGACACAAAGACAACTATCAATGATGTTCTCGCCACACTCCTCCTTGCAATCGCCCACCCGTCCCTCGAGAGCTTCAAGGCGTCGTTCACCGATGAACAGCGCACGCAACGAACTCTCCCCGACATTGATTCGCTTGCCGACCGTATGCGAGTCCAACTTCGGTCAACGAACATCCCCAGCACTCAATCGGCCCTTCTTGCCTCGTCGTCGTCACGTTCTACTCGTCTCAAGTGTCTCGCCTGTCGCAGCCCTTCGCACCGAGTCGCGGAGTGCCCTACGAGGGCGCAACACCCGCCGCCAGGACCCTGTCGCTCCTGCAAGAAGAAGGATCACTGGTCTCTCGACTGCAAGAAGGCGCTCGAGGACGGCAAAAAGCCCGACACCGCTGACTCGACCGTCGACTCGCAACACCATGTCGGATGTCTCGCCACCGGTCTTCTCGCTCGTCGTCGCCAGCTTCGCAACCACTCTTTTGTCGTCGACTCGGGCGCCACTTCGCACATGGTCTCGGACAAGTCGCTGTTCACGACCTATCGCCATATCGCTCCTACGAAGATTGGTGGTATTGCAGGGGGCATCAACGCCATCGGAACGGGAAACATCGCCTTCATTGCCGCCTCGGGTCATCCGATCACGCTTACCGGCGTGCTGCACACTCCGGGCCTGTTTGTCAATCTTCTCTCGGTCTCTCGACTTTGCGACACCGACGATGTCCGTGTCGCCTTCACAAAACACGGCATCCACATTGACAAGGACGGCAACGACATCGCTGAAGGCGCACGACTCGACGAAGGGCTCTACTTGCTGGACGCTGATCATTCCAAATGTCAGCACCTTGCTCTCCTTTCTCGCTCACAGTCGTCCGTGCCCCTGCTGACTCTCCATCGCTGCCTCGGCCATCTCGCACCGTCCTCCATACAGAAGATGGTTGCCGCTGGTTTGCTGGAGGGTCTCAGGGCCGGATATAGTGACGAAGAGGTAGAGAAGTTTGTCTGCAATGCTTGCCTCAGCGCAAAGGGCCATCGTCTTCCCTTTCCCGATTCGGATTCGCACTCCTCAGAGAGACTCGGCCTTGTACACAGCGATGTGCTTTCCTTCCCCGAGCGGTCCTTGACTGGCAAACGTTTATGAGATGATCACCACTACTGTCAGGAGAAGTCGAGAGTCGAACAGAAGTGATCTATTTCAGCGTACCTATGAGATGATCACCACTACTGTCAGGAGAAGTCGAGAGTCGAACAGAAGTGATGAGAAGGAAGCTAAGAAATGGAAAGGGGGCCCGCGCTGGGATATGCCCAGGCGCGGGCGAAATCGCCGGCGCGCTGAGGCACTCGCGCGCGCCTAAGTCCCCACCACAGGGGCCAGGCTAGCAGGCGCGCGCAACGACCGAGGCGCCCCTGTCGAGCTGAGAGTGGACTCTTCACACCCCCCCCCACGCGAATGCGAGGCAGATCCAAGCCGTGGGTGTCGAGTGCGAAGGCCTAGTGCGTAGCAGTGTGTCGAGAAAATCTTTGGGCCAAGAGCCTTTGTGAAGATGTCGGCCACCATGTTGCTGGTTCCCACATGCGAGAGTGAGATATCGCCCCGATTCACCATGTCCCGAACAAAGTGCTCGCGCAAGCGTATGTGTCGAGTGCCGGAGACGCGGACAGGGTCGTGGGCAACTGCGGCAGCGGCTTCATTGTCAGTAAAAATGTGAGCCGGTGCAACAGGTTGGACATGGAGCTCCTCGAGCAGCTGACTGAGGTAGATCCCTTCCTTGCCAGCATGCGAGAGGGCGAGGTATTCAGCGTCGGTGGTAGAATCGGCAACTCGAGATTGACGCTTGGACGACCAAGACACGGCGGATCCGGCAATGTAGAAGACGTAGCCCATAGTGGACACCGACGTATCGACGCAGGCCCCCCAGTTCGCGTCGGAGTAGCCAACCACGCCCGTGATGCGTGTCTCGCCGCAAGCATAAACCAGTTCGTCGCGATATGTGGCCCGGAGATAGCGGAGGATGTGCTTGACCGCGATCCAGTGACGACGTCCAGGGTTGTTGGCGAAGCGGGCCAGGTAGGACACGGCGAAGGCGATGTCGGGGCGGGTGCCGAGCGAAATGTAGAGGAGCGAGCCGATAGCCTGCAGATACCATGACCTGATCCGTTCGGTGCCTTGACCCGGGATGGCGGTGAGCGAAAGGCCGGGGGTCATCGGGACTGTAGTGCCGCGAGTCGTGGTGTCGAAGTGGAACCGAGCAAGCACGTCCATGATGTACCGTTCCTGGGACAGGGCAATAGAACCGTCTTCGAGTCGCCTGATCTGGATGCCGAGGATGTACTCTGCCGGGCCGAGGCGCTTGACGCCGTAGCGTTGTTCGAGGCCCGAGATGACACGTTCAATTTCGGCCAAGTCGGGGCTGATCATCAGGAGGTCGTCGACGTACAGCGCGATGTAGTGTGGGCGTCGCCGATCGTCGATCCGAGAGTACACGCAGTGGTCGGTGCCCGTCGCCGTATAGCCGAGATCTCGAAGCGATGCGTCGATGTGTCGATTCCAGATTCGGCCAGCCTGTTTGAGTCCGTAGATGGAGCGTCGCAGACGAAGCACCTTGTCGGTGGGAAGGTCGAAGCCGCGCGGTGTCGTCATCCAGATGTCATGGTCAAGGTCGCCATGCAGATAGGCTTTGTCGATGTCCGCCTGGTGCACGTGCAAGCCGTTGGCGGCCGCCAGCGCGAGGAGTGAGCGTATCGAGGAGAAGCGTGCGACTGGTGCGAAGGTTTCGTTGAAGTCGATGCCGTCGCGTTGCCGATTTCCCTGCGCCACGAGCCGTGCCTTGTGGCCGGTGACTTCGCCGAGTGCATTCCGTTTCGTTTTCCAGACGAACTTGGATGTGACGATGGTCGCACCCGCTGGTACCGTGGATCGGTCCTCGATGGTGAAGACCTTGAAGTCGTCGCGCATGGAATTGAACTCGTCGGTAGCGGCCTTGGCCCACACTTCGCGCTTGTCACTCGACATTGCCTCGCGCCATGTCTGTGGGTCGCTGGTGATGGACTTGACTGGTTGAATGGCTTCTGTGTCAGAGTTGTCGTCGTCGGTGGCGATGAAGGCGCGGTGGTGTTGGGTGAGGAAATCGATTTCGTCCGGCGATTCATCGCGCGAGTGGCGCCCAATGATGTCGAGTTCGTCGGGCGACTCCTCAGCCGATGCGGGCTCACGGTACGTGCTGAAGTCTGGGCGGTGCACGTCCGGTGGGCCGAGGCGAGTCGGGGTCTGTGAGCCGATGAGGTCCAGAGGGTCGGCGGAGTAGTCAGAGTCGGTCGGTAAGGCCGAGGGTGACGATGACGCAGCCAACGACGGTGACAGCGCAGGCGACGGTGACAAGGGGGTTGCGGGCGACGGTGACGAGGACGGCTCAGGAGACGGTGACGAGGACGATTCGGCATCTGTGGAATTAAGTAAGGTTCCGCCAGTGTACCCTGGGGCCACGTCAACGGCGCTCATGGCAGAGTCATCAAGAGAGGATGAGACGTCCATGTGCGCCGACCTTACTAGTGGGGTCCATGTCTTGACAACGGCTTGGGATTCGGTGGTCGGGCAAGCGCTGGCGAAGTGCGTGTCGGCGTCTTGCTCGGTGGAGTCGCTACGTAACCCGGGAAATTCGTTGTCGAGGAACCTGGCATTTCTGCCCAAACTGATCTTCTTGGTCGTCGTGTCGTAGAAACGGAAGGCTTTAGAAGCCAGGTCATAGCCGGTGAAGAGAACGCGAACCGCTTTCGGGTCGAGTTTCGAGCGAAGTTCAGGCGCGACTGTGAGCCAAGCCGTGCAGCCGAACGGGTGAAGCGCCGAGGCGTTGGTGCGGTCGCCCTGCCAGGCGAAGTTCGGTGTTGCCTTGTCCAGGGCCGAGTGTTCGCACAGGTTCTTGCAGTAGACGAAATAAGCTGCTGCCTCCTCCCAGAATGATTTGGGTAAGTGGGCGTCTGCAAGGAGGGCAAGGACACCTTCGACGATAGAACGATTGACTCGTTCGGCACGACCGTTCTGTTGAGGCGTTCGAGGGATAGAGTATTGTCGACGTGTGCCGCGTGCCTTACAGAATTCCGTGAACGCTCTCGAACAGTATTCGCCACCATTGTCGGTTCGGAGGACCTTCAGTTTTGCACCCGTCTCGAGTTCGACCTCGGCAAGCCATGTCTTGAACACGCCAAAGACTTCGCTTTTGTGTCCGATCGCGTATGCCCACAGTTTGCGCGAGAAGTCGTCAAGAAACGTGACCAGGTAACGCTTGCCAGTCAAGGACGACTCGGGAAAGGAAAGCACATCGCTGTGTACGAGGCCGAGTCTCTCTGAGGAGTGCGAGTCCGAATCGGGAAAAGGAAGACGATGGCCCTTTGCACTGAGGCAAGCATTGCAGACAAACTTCTCTACCTCTTCGTCACTATATCCGGCCCCGAGACCTTCCAGCAAACCAGCGGCAACCATCTTCTGTATGGACGACGGTGCGAGATGGCCGAGGCAGCGGTGAAGGGTCAGCAGGGGCACGGAAGACTGTGAGCGAGAGAGGAGAGCGAGATGCTGACATTTGGAATGATCAGCGTCCAGCAAGTAGAGCCCTTCCTCGAGTCTTGCGCCTTCAGCGATAGCATTGCCGTTCTTGTCGATATGGATGCCGTGCTTCGTGAAGGCGACACGGACATCGTCGGTGTCGCAAAGTCGAGAGACCGAGAGGAGGTTGACAGACAGGCCCGGGGTGTGCAGCACGCCGGTAAGCGTGATCGGGTGACCGGAGGCGGCAACAAAGGCGATGTTTCCCGTTCCGACGGCGTTGATGCCCCCTGCAATACCACCAATCTTCGTAGGAGCGATGTGGCGATAGGCCGTGAACAGCGACTTGTCCGAGACCATGTGCGAAGTGGCACCCGAGTCGACGACGAAGGAGTTGTTGCGAAGCTGACGACGATGTGCGAGAAGACCGGTGGCGAGACATCCGACATGGTGTTGCGCATCAGAGGTGTCGGGCGTTTTCCCGTCCTCAAGAGCCTTTTTGCAGTCGAAAGACCAGTGGTCCTTCTTCTTGCAGGAGCGACACGGGCCTGGCGGTGGATGCTGGGCCCTTGTAGGGCATTGTGCGACGCGGTGAGAAGAGCTGCGACAGGCGAGGCACTTGGTACGGGTAGAACGTGGCGACGACGAGGCAAGGAGGGCCGATTGATCGTTGGAGAGGTTCGTTGACCGGAGTTGAACTCGCATACGGTCGGCCACTGAATCGATGTCAGGGAGAGTTCGTTGCGTGCGTTGTTCGTCGGTGAACGTTGCCTTGAAGCTCTCGAGTGACGGGTGGGCGATCGCGAGGAGGAGTGTGGCAAGGACGTCGTTGATCGTCGTTTTCGTATCGATGATCTCTTGCGCGACCGACTTGAAGTCCATGATCCAACTGTCAAATTCGCCAACCGTTCCGGGCATGGGTCGGAAGCCCCAGAGTCGCGAGAAGAGCTCGAGCGTGCGAGTGGCGTCATCAGGGGCGTATCGCGATTTCAGCGTCGAGTAAATCTTGGGCGCTGTGAGGTCGGCCGTAGGGATCTTGTCGAGGACTGCCGAGACTTCGGCCGAGTCGATTGAGTTTGCAAGGATCTCGCGTGCCACGACGTCGCGGGCGGAGCGTTGCGAAGGCGTCCAATCGTCGGGGGTGATTCCGTCGAGGACGTAGGAGCGGATGTCGTCCGCTAGGCACAGGCGAAGCTGGCGTGTCCAGTTCGCGAACGTCTTCGGCCCGTCCAACCGCGCATGCTTCGGGAAGGCATTGCGATTGGAGCCGGATGTCGTGGCGGGTGCGGTAGTGCCGGAAGCGGCAGCGGTGAGTCCCGACAGCAGCGATGTAAGTGCGGCAAGCTGTTCGGCGGGAATTGTCGGGGTGGCGCTCGTCGCGAGGGTTGACGACGTGTCCATGCCAGCGGTAGCTCGATGGGCTTATAACCTATGAGATGATCACCACTACTGTCAGGAGAAGTCGAGAGTCGAACAGAAGTGATCTATTTCAGCGTACCTATGAGATGATCACCACTACTGTCAGGAGAAGTCGAGAGTCGAACAGAAGTGATGAGAAGGAAGCTAAGAAATGGAAAGGGGGCCCGCGCTGGGATATGCCCAGGCGCGGGCGAAATCGCCGGCGCGCTGAGGCACTCGCGCGCGCCTAAGTCCCCACCACAGGGGCCAGGCTAGCAGGCGCGCGCAACGACCGAGGCGCCCCTGTCGAGCTGAGAGTGGACTCTTCACAACGTTACCTGGTCACATTCCTTGACGATTACTCGCGCAAACTCTGGGCCTACGCAATCGGACACAAAAGCGAAGTCTTCGGCATATTCAAAACTTGGCTAGCCGAGGTTGAACTCGAGACGGGTGCGACGCTGAAGGTCCTCCGAACCGACAACGGTGGCGAATACTGTTCGAGAGCGTTCACAGAGTTCTGCAAGACACGAGGCACCCGTCGACAATACTCTATCCCACGCACGCCTCAACAGAACGGTCGTGCAGAGCGGGTCAATCGTTCCATTGTCGAAGGCGTCCTTGCCCTCCTTGTCGACGCCCACCTACCCAAGACATTCTGGGAGGAGGCTGCAGCTTATTTCGTTTACTGCAAGAACCTGTGTCAACACGCGGCCCTGGACAAGGCAACACCAAACTCCGTCTGGCAGGGTGACCACACCACTGCCTCGGCGCTTCACCCGTTCGGCTGTACAGCTTGGCTTACGGTCGCGCCCGAACTTCGCTCCAAACTCGACCCGAAGGCGGTTCGCGTTTTTTTCACCGGCTACGACCTGGCTTCAAAAGCCTTTCGCTTCTACGACACTACAACACAGAAGATTATACTTGGCAGAAATGCCACGTTCCTCGACACTGAATTCCCCGGATTACATGGCGACCCCACTGAGCAAGACGGCGACACGCACTTCGCCAGCGCTCCCACCACCGAATCTCAAACCGTTGTCAAGACATGGACCCCACTAGTAAGGTCGGCGCACATGGACGTCTCATCCCCCCTTGATGATTCTGCCATGAGCGCCGTTGACGTGGCCCCAGGGTACACTGGCGGAACCTTACTTAACTTCACAGATGCCGAATCGTCCTCGTCACCGTCGCCTGCGTCGCCCTCATCACCGTCGTCTGCGCCATCGCCTGCACTTTCACCATCGTCGGCTGCGTCATCGTCACCCTCGGCCTTACCGACCGACTCTGAAGACTCCGCCGATCCCCTCGACCTCCTCGGCTCACAGCCCCAGGTTCGCCTCGATCTACAGGACGTGCACCACCCAGACTTCAGCACGTACCGCGAGCCCGCATCGGCTGAGGAGTCGCCCGACGAACTCGACCTCATTGGGCGCCACTCTCGCGACGAATCTCCGGACGAAATCGATTTCCTCACCCGACACCACCGCGCCTTCATCGCCATCGACGACGACACCTCTGACACAGAGGCAATTCAGCCAGTCAAGTCCATCACGAGCGACCCACAGACCTGGCGCGAGGCGATGTCTAGCGACAAGCGTGAAGTATGGGCCAAAGCCGCCACCGACGAGTTCACCTCCATGCGCGACGACTTCAAGGTCTTCACCATCGAGGACCGAGCCACGGTGCCCGCGGGTGCGACTATCGTTACATCCAAGTTCGTCTGAAAACGAAACGGAACGCACTCGGCGAAGTCACTGGACACAAGGCAAGGCTGGTCGCGCAAGGCAATCGGCAACGCGACGGCATCGACTTCAACGAAACGTTCGCACCGGTCGCACGCTTCTCCTCGATACGCTCACTCCTCGCGCTGGCGGCCGCCAACGGCTTGCACGTGCACCAGGCGGACATCGACAAAGCATATCTGCATGGCGACCTTGACCACGACATCTGGATGACGGCACCGCGCGGCTTCGACCTTCCCAGCGACAAGGTGCTTCGCCTGCGACGCTCCATCTACGGGCTCAAACAGGCTGGCCGAATCTGGAATCGACACATCGACGCTTCGCTTCGGGCCCTCGGTTACACGGCGACGGGCACCGACCACTGCGTATACTCTTGGCTCGATGATCGTCAATGTCCACACTACATCGCACTGTACGTCGACGACCTCCTGATGATCAGCCCGGAACTGGCCGAAATCGAACGTGTCATCTCAGGCCTGGACCAACGCTACGGAGTCAAGCGCCTCGGCCCGGCCGAGTATATCCTCGGCATCCAGATCAGGCGGTTCGACGACGGCTCTATCGCCCTATCCCAGGAACGGTACATCATGGACGTGCTCGCTCGGTTCCACTTCGACACCACGACTCGCGGCACTACAGTTCCGATGACTCCCGGCCTTTCGCTCACTGCTATCCCGGGTCAAGGCACCGAACGGATCAGGTCATGGTATCTGCAGGCTATCGGCTCGCTCCTCTACATTTCGCTCGGTACCCGCCCTGACATCGCCTTCGCCGTGTCCTACCTGGCCCGCTTCGCCAACAACCCCGGTCGTCGTCATTGGATTGCGGTCAAGCACATCCTACGCTATCTCCGGGCCACGTATCGCAACGAACTCGTGTATGCTCGCGGCCAGGCTCGCATCACGGGTGTGGTAGGCTACTCCGACGCGAACTGGGGGGCCTGCATCGACACATCGGTGTCCACCATGGGCTACGTCTTCTACATCGCTGGCTCGGCCGTGTCCTGGTCGTCCAAACGCCAGTCTCGAGTTGCCGATTCGACCACCGACGCTGAATACCTCGCCCTCTCGCATGCTGGCAAGGAAGGGATTTACCTCAGTCAGCTGCTCGAAGAGCTCCATGTACAACCTGTTGCACCGGCTCACATCTTTACTGACAACGAAGCCGCTGCTGCAGTTGCTCACGATCCTGTCCGCGTCTCTGGCACTCGGCACATACGCTTGCGTGAGCACTTCGTTCGGGACATGGTGAATCGGGGCGACATCTCTCTCTCGCATGTGGGTACCAGCGACATGGTGGCCGACATCTTCACCAAGGCTCTCGGCCCAAAGGTCTTCTCAACGCACTGCTACGCCCTCGGCCTTCGCACTCGACACCCGCGGCTTGGGTCTGCCTCGCATTCGCGTGGGGGGGGGTGTGAAGAGTCCACTCTCAGCTCGACAGGGGCGCCTCGGTCGTTGCGCGCACTTGCTAGCCCGCCCCCGGCGGTGGGGACTTAGACGCGCGCGACTGCCTCAGCGCGCCAGCGCCGGCGGATTCATGCGCGCGCCCGCTAGCCCGCCCCCTTGCGGTGGGGACTTAGGCGCGCCGGCGATTTCACCCGCGGCTGACTTAGGGATGTACATTGTCACGCGCCTGGGACTATCCCAGCGTGGCCCCCCCCTTTCTGTTTCTTAGCTTCCTTCTCATCACTTCTGTTCGACTCTCAACCTCTCCTGACAGTAGTGGTGAACGTCTCATAGGTACGCTGAAATAGATCACTTCTGTTCGACTCTCAACCTCTCCTGACAGTAGTGGTGAACGTCTCATAACATCGCCTTTGTTGCCGCCTCCGGTCACCCGATCACGCTTACCGGCGTGTTGCACACCCCGGGCCTGTCTGTCAACCTCCTCTCGGTCTCTCGACTTTGCGACACCGACGATGTCCGTGTCGCCTTCACGAAGCACGGCATCCATATCGACAAGAACGGCAATGCTATCGCTGAAGGCGCAAGACTCGAGGAAGGGCTCTACTTGCTGGACGCTGATCATTCCAAATGTCAGCATCTCGCTCTCCTCTCTCGCTCACAGTCTTCCGTGCCCCTGCTGACCCTTCACCGCTGCCTCGGCCATCTCGCACCGTCGTCCATACAGAAGATGGTTGCCGCTGGTTTGCTGGAAGGTCTCGGGGCCGGATATAGTGACGAAGAGGTAGAGAAGTTTGTCTGCAATGCTTGCCTCAGTGCAAAGGGCCATCGTCTTCCTTTTCCCGATTCGGACTCGCACTCCTCAGAGAGACTCGGCCTCGTACACAGCGATGTGCTTTCCTTTCCCGAGTCGTCCTTGACTGGCAAGCGTTACCTGGTCACGTTTCTTGACGACTTCTCGCGCAAACTGTGGGCATACGCGATCGGACACAAAAGCGAAGTCTTTGGCGTGTTCAAGACATGGCTTGCCGAGGTCGAACTCGAGACGGATGCAAAACTGAAGGTCCTCCGAACCGACAATGGTGGCGAATACTGTTCGAGAGCGTTCACGGAATTCTGTAAGGCACGCGGCACACGTCGACAATACTCTATCCCTGTGAGGAATCCACTCTCCGCTCGGCTCAGGACTTAGGCGCGCGGAGCGAACCGGGCGCGGACTTAGGCGCGCGGAGTGAGCCGGGCGCCCCGGCCCAGGACTTAGGCGCGCGAAGCGAGCCTGGGACTTAGGCGCGCGGAGCGAGCCTGGGCCATTGGCTCAGCCCCAGGCTCGCTGGCTGTGGACTTGGGGCGCGCGGGTCTCTTATTGTTAGCTTCCTATTCATCACTCTTGGCTATAACTACATCGCTGACGTAGTAGAGTTGATCGAATAGGTATGTTGAAATGCATTCATCACTCTTGGCTATAACTACATCGCTGACGTAGTAGAGTTGATCGAATAATCCCTCGAACGCCTCAACAGAACGGTCGTGCCGAACGAGTCAATCGTTCTATCGTCGAAGGTGTCCTTGCCCTCCTTGCAGACGCCCACTTACCCAAATCATTCTGGGAGGAGGCAGCAGCTTATTTCGTCTACTGCAAGAACCTGTGCGAACACTCGGCCCTGGACAAGGCAACACCGAACTTCGCCTGGCAGGGCGACCGCACCAACGCCTCGGCGCTTCACCCGTTCGGCTGCACGGCTTGGCTCACAGTCGCGCCTGAACTTCGCTCGAAACTCGACCCGAAAGCGGTTCGCGTTCTCTTCACCGGCTATGACCTGGCTTCTAAAGCCTTCCGTTTCTACGACACGACGACCAAGAAGATCAGTTTGGGCAGAAATGCCAGGTTCCTCGACAACGAATTTCCCGGGTTACGTAGCGACTCCACCGAGCAAGACGCCGACACGCACTTCGCCAGCGCTTGCCCGACCACCGAATCCCAAGCCGTTGTCAAGACATGGACCCCACTAGTAAGGTCGGCGCACATGGACGTCTCATCCTCTCTTGATGACTCTGCCATGAGCGCCGTTGACGTGGCCCCAGGGTACACTGGCGGAACCTTACTTAATTCCACAGATGCCGAATCGTCCTCGTCACCGTCTCCTGAGCCGTCCTCGTCACCGTCGCCCGCAACTCCCTTGTCACCGTCGCCTGCGCTGTCACCGTCGTTGGCTGCGTCATCGTCACCCTCGGCCTTACCGACCGACTCTGACTACTCCGCCGACCCTCTGGACCTCATCGGCTCACAGACCCCGACTCGCCTCGGCCCACCGGACGTGCACCGCCCAGACTTCAGCACGTACCGTGAGCCCGCATCGGCTGAGGAGTCGCCCGACGAACTCGACATCATTGGGCGCCACTCGCGCGATGAATCGCCGGACGAAATCGATTTCCTCACCCAACACCACCGCGCCTTCATCGCCACCGACGACGACAACTCTGACACAGAAGCCATTCAACCAGTCAAGTCCATCACCAGCGACCCACAGACATGGCGCGAGGCAATGTCGAGTGACAAGCGCGAAGTGTGGGCCAAGGCCGCTACCGACGAGTTCAATTCCATGCGCGACGACTTCAAGGTCTTCACCATCGAGGACCGATCCACGGTACCAGCGGGTGCGACCATCGTCACATCCAAGTTCGTCTGGAAAACGAAACGGAATGCACTCGGCGAAGTCACCGGCCACAAGGCACGGCTCGTGGCGCAGGGAAATCGGCAACGCGACGGCATCGACTTCAACGAAACCTTCGCACCAGTCGCACGCTTCTCCTCGATACGCTCACTCCTCGCGCTGGCGGCCGCCAACGGCTTGCACGTGCACCAGGCGGACATCGACAAAGCCTATCTGCATGGCGACCTTGACCATGACATCTGGATGACGACACCGCGCGGCTTCGACCTTCCCACCGACAAGGTGCTTCGTCTGCGACGCTCCATCTACGGACTCAAACAGGCTGGCCGAATCTGGAATCGACACATCGACGCATCGCTTCGAGATCTCGGCTATACGGCGACGGGCACCGACCACTGCGTGTACTCTCGGATCGACGATCGGCGACGCCCACACTACATCGCGCTGTACGTCGACGACCTCCTGATGATCAGCCCCGACTTGGCCGAAATTGAACGTGTCATCTCGGGCCTCGAACAACGCTACGGCGTCAAGCGCCTCGGCCCGGCAGAGTACATCCTCGGCATCCAGATCAGGCGACTCGAAGACGGTTCTATTGCCCTGTCCCAGGAACGGTACATCATGGACGTGCTTGCTCGGTTCCACTTCGACACCACGACTCGCGGCACTACAGTCCCGATGACCCCCGGCCTTTCGCTCACCGCCATCCCGGGTCAAGGCACCGAACGGATCAGGTCATGGTATCTGCAGGCTATCGGCTCGCTCCTCTACATTTCGCTCGGCACCCGCCCCGACATCGCCTTCGCCGTGTCCTACCTGGCCCGCTTCGCCAACAACCCTGGACGTCGTCACTGGATCGCGGTCAAGCACATCCTCCGCTATCTCCGGGCCACATATCGCGACGAACTGGTTTATGCTTGCGGCGAGACACGCATCACGGGCGTGGTTGGCTACTCTGACGCGAACTGGGGGGCCTGCGTCGATACGTCGGTGTCCACTATGGGCTACGTCTTCTACATTGCCGGATCCGCCGTGTCTTGGTCGTCCAAGCGTCAATCTCGAGTTGCCGATTCTACCACCGACGCTGAATACCTCGCCCTCTCGCATGCTGGCAAGGAAGGGATCTACCTCAGTCAGCTGCTCGAGGAGCTCCATGTCCAACCTGTTGCACCGGCTCACATTTTTACTGACAATGAAGCCGCTGCCGCAGTTGCCCACGACCCTGTCCGCGTCTCCGGCACTCGACACATACGCTTGCGCGAGCACTTTGTTCGGGACATGGTGAATCGGGGCGATATCTCACTCTCGCATGTGGGAACCAGCAACATGGTGGCCGACATCTTCACAAAGGCTCTTGGCCCAAAGATTTTCTCGACACACTGCTACGCACTAGGCCTTCGCACTCGACACCCACGGCTTGGATCTGCCTCGCATTCGCGTGGGGGGGGGTGTGAAGAGTCCACTCTCAGCTCGACAGGGGCGCCTCGGTCGTTGCGCGCGCCTGCTAGCCTGGCCCCTGTGGTGGGGACTTAGGCGCGCGCGAGTGCCTCAGCGCGCCGGCGCCGGCGGTTTTCGGGCGCGCGCCGCTAGCCCGCCCTTGCAGTGGGGACTTAGCCGCGCGCGACTGCCTCAGCGCTCCAGCGATTTCGCCCGCGCCTGGGCATATCCCAGCGCGGGCCACCTTTCCATTTCTTAGCTTCCTTCTCATCACTTCTGTTCGACTCTCGACTTCTCCTGACAGTAGTGGTGATCATCTCATAGGTACGCTGAAATAGATCACTTCTGTTCGACTCTCGACTTCTCCTGACAGTAGTGGTGATCATCTCATACCCGGCCCCAAACCCGTCCAGCAAACCTGCAGCAATCATCTTCTGTATAGAGGATGGGGCAAGATGGCCGAGGCAGCGGTGTAGGGTAAGCAGGGGCACGGGAGACTCAGAGCGTGAGAGGAAGGCAAGATGCTGACACTTGGTGTGATCCGCGTCCAAAAGGTAAAGACCGTCGTTGACCCTGGTACCGTGAGCAATGGCCCGGCCGTCCTTGGCGATGTCGATGCCGTCGCTGGTGAAGGCGAGACGAACGCGGTCGGTGTCGCAGAGGCGAGAGACAGAGAGGAGGTTGACGTGTAGGCCAGGCGTGTGAAGAACACCACGGAGCGTGATCGGGTGTCCAGTCTTGGCGACGAATGCCACGTCCCCCATGCCGATAGCCGTGATGCCGCCCGCGATGCCGCCGATCTTGGTGTGTGCCGTCTGACGATAAGTCGTGAATAGAGATCGGTCGGCGACCATGTGTGTCGTGGCACCCGAATCGACTACAAAGGCGTCAGTTGGGAGTTGGCGACGAGCGAAGAGGCAGGAGGCGAAATAGCCGACGTTCGGTTGCGAGGCCGCGGAGGAAGACGTGTCGTCCTGGGTGTCGTCGCTGCTACGTGCCTGTTCACCCCGGTTCTTGCAGTCGAGTGCCCAGTGACCTTTCTTGTGGCATCGGCGGCAGGGGCCGGTGGGCGGGTGCTTCGCACGTGAAGTGCAGTCGCGCAGGCGGTGACCGGGAGCGCGGCAGGCGGGGCAGGGGGAGCTGGTGGCAAGCATGGCCGAATGCGAGGTCGAGAGTCCTGCCGAACGAAGCTGGATGCGAATGCGGTCCGTAAGCGTCGTGAGTTCGGGAAGGTCGCGTCGGTTTCGCTGCTCGTCCGTGAACGTGAGTCGGAAGCTGTCGAGGCAAGACGGGACCATGGCGAGCACGTGGGTGGCGAGCACGTCGTTGAGCGATGTTTTGGCGTCGCGTATTTCCTGAGCAATCGACATGTACTCGCGTAGCCAAGTGTCGTAGGCCTCGACGGAGGCAGGCATCTTCCTGAAGTCCCAAAGGCGAGCGAACAACTCGAGAGTGCGTGTAGCGTCGTCCGGTGCAAAACGAGCCTTGAGAGCGGCAAAGATGCGCGGTGCCGACAGGTCGTCGCTGGGGATGGCGTCGAGGGTGGCCGATACGTCGGCGGAGTCGATAGAGCCAACGATGATTTCCCGGGCGGCGTCGTCACGTGCGGCAAGCTGGTCGGCGGTCCAGGTCGGGGGTATGAGATGATCACCACTACTGTCAGGAGAAGTCGAGAGTCGAACAGAAGTGATCTATTTCAGCGTACCTATGAGATGATCACCACTACTGTCAGGAGAAGTCGAGAGTCGAACAGAAGTGATGAGAAGGAAGCTAAGAAATGGAAAGGGGGCCCGCGCTGGGATATGCCCAGGCGCGGGCGAAATCGCTGGAGCGCTGAGGCAGTCGCGCGCGGCTAAGTCCCCACTGCAAGGGCGGGCTAGCGGCGCGCGCCCGAAAACCGCCGGCGCCGGCGCGCTGAGGCACTCGCGCGCGCCTAAGTCCCCACCACAGGGGCCAGGCTAGCAGGCGCGCGCAACGACCGAGGCGCCCCTGTCGAGCTGAGAGTGGACTCTTCACACCCCCCCCCACGCGAATGCGAGGCAGATCCAAGCCGTGGGTGTCGAGTGCGAAGGCCTAGTGCGTAGCAGTGTGTCGAGAAAATCTTTGGGCCAAGAGCCTTTGTGAAGATGTCGGCCACCATGTTGCTGGTTCCCACATGCGAGAGTGAGATATCGCCCCGATTCACCATGTCCCGAACAAAGTGCTCGCGCAAGCGTATGTGTCGAGTGCCGGAGACGCGGACAGGGTCGTGGGCAACTGCGGCAGCGGCTTCATTGTCAGTAAAAATGTGAGCCGGTGCAACAGGTTGGACATGGAGCTCCTCGAGCAGCTGACTGAGGTAGATCCCTTCCTTGCCAGCATGCGAGAGGGCGAGGTATTCAGCGTCGGTGGTAGAATCGGCAACTCGAGATTGACGCTTGGACGACCAAGACACGGCGGATCCGGCAATGTAGAAGACGTAGCCCATAGTGGACACCGACGTATCGACGCAGGCCCCCCAGTTCGCGTCGGAGTAGCCAACCACGCCCGTGATGCGTGTCTCGCCGCAAGCATAAACCAGTTCGTCGCGATATGTGGCCCGGAGATAGCGGAGGATGTGCTTGACCGCGATCCAGTGACGACGTCCAGGGTTGTTGGCGAAGCGGGCCAGGTAGGACACGGCGAAGGCGATGTCGGGGCGGGTGCCGAGCGAAATGTAGAGGAGCGAGCCGATAGCCTGCAGATACCATGACCTGATCCGTTCGGTGCCTTGACCCGGGATGGCGGTGAGCGAAAGGCCGGGGGTCATCGGGACTGTAGTGCCGCGAGTCGTGGTGTCGAAGTGGAACCGAGCAAGCACGTCCATGATGTACCTGTTGAACTTTGCTCCATCTCACTTCTAGGACAATATGCGCTCACTGAAGTAGAGGTGCCTCGCCTTTTGGTGCAGTGGTATATTGTTCCTTCATAGGTTATGAGCCCAGAGCAACCAGCAGGTCATGAGTTCAATCCCCCCTGGGGTCAGGCAATTTTGCGCGCATACACTCAGCGTCCCGGCCCCCGCACTTGCCCAGCAGCGTGCCAAGCACCCTGGCGCATCGACAGTGCTCACAGTGCCCAAGCTGCACTTGCCCAAGCGACCTGATCAACATGCCCAGTTGCCTCACAAGCCGCACCCACTGCCACAAGCTCTTCAGCTTCGCGCACAGGGGGGTGTTGAACTTCGCTCCATCTCACTTCTAGGACAATATGCGCTCACTGAAGTAGAGGTGCCTCGCCTTTTGGTGCAGTGGTATATTGTTCCTTCATAGGTTATGAGCCCAGAGCAACCAGCAGGTCATGAGTTCAATCCCCCCTGGGGTCAGGCAATTTTGCGCGCATACACTCAGCGTCCCGGCCCCCGCACTTGCCCAGCGGCGTGCCAAGCACCCTGGCGCATCGACAGTGCTCACAGTGCCCAAGCTGCACTTGCCCAAGCGACCTGATCAACATGCCCAGTTGCCTCACAGCCGCACCCACTGCCACAAGCTCTTCAGCTTCGCGCACAGGGGGGTGTTGAACTTTGCTCCATCTCACTTCTAGGACAATATGCGCTCACTGAAGTAGAGGTGCCTCGCCTTTTGGTGCAGTGGTATATTGTTCCTTCATAGTACCGTTCCTGGGACAGGGCAATAGAACCGTCTTCGAGTCGCCTGATCTGGATGCCGAGGATGTACTCTGTCGGGCCGAGGCGCTTGACGCCGTAGCGTTGTTCGAGGCCCGAGATGACACGTTCAATTTCGGCCAAGTCGGGGCTGATCATCTGTCAGGAGCACAGCCTGCACTGTGAGGAATCCACTCTCCGCTCGGCTCAGGACTTAGGCGCGCGAAGCGAGCCTGGGACTTAGGCGCGCGGAGCGAGCCTGGGCCATTGGCTCAGCCCCAGGCTCGCTGGCTGTGGACTTGGGGCGCGCGGGTCTCTTATTGTTAGCTTCCTATTCATCACTCTTGGCTATAACTACATCGCTGACGTAGTAGAGTTGATCGAATAGGTATGTTGAAATGCATTCATCACTCTTGGCTATAACTACATCGCTGACGTAGTAGAGTTGATCGAATAGGTATGTTGAAATGCATTCATCACTCTTGGCTATAACTACATCGCTGACGTAGTAGAGTTGATCGAATAGGTTATAAGCCCACGAGCTACCAGCCCCGCCGCTTGAGGCTTTTTCGCTCGAGCCCAGCCACTCGAGCCGCACACGTCCATCGCACCATCACATCATGGACAGCTCTCCCGCCTCGCCTTTGGCCCCCAGGGATCCCAGCTCCCCTGAATCTTCGATCGGCGAACAAATCGCCACTCTACAGGCCCAGCTTGCCGCTCTGCAGGCCTCGCAACCCGCCGCCGCCGCAGCCGCCGCACCCCCGGCCGTCACCGTCGTGCCGGGGAACGCCGCCACCGCATCCAAGGTCGTGTTTCCCAAGCACGCTCGTCTGGACGGCCCCAAGTCGTTCACCAACTGGTTGCGTCAACTCCGTCTTGCACTCCCGAACCAGGTTCGTGGTTACGTTCTCGACGGTGTCGTTCCCCCGACCTGGACCGCCGACCAGCTTGCCGCACGTGACGACGCCGCCCGGGAAATCATCGTTGGCTCTATCGACTCCGCCGACGTATCGGCCACCCTCGACGCCATCCCCAGCGACGACCTGTCGGCACCGCGCATCTTTGCCGCTCTCAAGGCTCGTTTTGCACCGGACGACGCTACACGCACTCTCGAGTTGTTCGCTCGCCTTTGGGACTTCAGGAAGATGCCTGCCTCCGTCGAGGCCTACGACACTTGGCTACGCGAGTACATGTCGATTGCTCAGGAAATACGCGACGCCAAAACATCGCTCAACGACGTGCTCGCCACCCACGTGCTCGCCATGGTCCCGTCTTGCCTCGACAGCTTCCGACTCACGTTCACGGACGAGCAGCGAAACCGACGCGACCTTCCCGAACTCACGACGCTTACGGACCGCATTCGCATCCAGCTTCGTTCGGCAGGACTCTCGACCTCGCATTCGGCCATGCTTGCCACCAGCTCCCCCTGCCCCGCCTGCCGCGCTCCCGGTCACCGCCTGCGCGACTGCACTTCACGTGCGAAGCACCCGCCCACCGGCCCCTGCCGCCGATGCCACAAGAAAGGTCACTGGGCACTCGACTGCAAGAACCGGGGTGAACAGGCACGTAGCAGCGACGACACCCAGGACGACACGTCTTCCTCCGCGGCCTCGCAACCGAACGTCGGCTATTTCGCCTCCTGCCTCTTCGCTCGTCGCCAACTCCCAACTGACGCCTTTGTAGTCGATTCGGGTGCCACGACACACATGGTCGCCGACCGATCTCTATTCACGACTTATCGTCAGACGGCACACACCAAGATCGGCGGCATCGCGGGCGGCATCACGGCTATCGGCATGGGGGACGTGGCATTCGTCGCCAAGACTGGACACCCGATCACGCTCCGTGGTGTTCTTCACACGCCTGGCCTACACGTCAACCTCCTCTCTGTCTCTCGCCTCTGCGACACCGACCGCGTTCGTCTCGCCTTCACCAGCGACGGCATCGACATCGCCAAGGACGGCCGGGCCATTGCTCACGGTACCAGGGTCAACGACGGTCTTTACCTTTTGGACGCGGATCACACCAAGTGTCAGCATCTTGCCTTCCTCTCACGCTCTGAGTCTCCCGTGCCCCTGCTTACCCTACACCGCTGCCTCGGCCATCTTGCCCCATCCTCTATACAGAAGATGATTGCTGCAGGTTTGCTGGACGGGTTTGGGGCCGGGTACAGTGACAAAGACGTAGAGGAGTTTGTTTGCAATGCTTGCCTTGGTTCCAAAGGTCACCGCCTTCCCTTTCCCGACTCTGAGTCGCATTCCGCCGAGAGACTTGGCCTCGTGCACAGCGACGTCCTGTCGTTCCCCACTCCGTCCTTGACCGGGAAGCGCTACCTTGTCACGTTTCTAGACGACCACTCTCGCAAACTCTGGGCATATGCGATCGATCACAAAAGCGATGTTTTCCCGACCTTCCAGACTTGGCTCGCCGAAGTGGAGTTAGAGACGAACGCGCGGTTGAGGATCCTTCGAACCGACAATGGCGGGGAGTACCGATCAAACGCATTCACGGAGTTCTGCAAATCCAAGGGCATTCGTCGTCAATACTCTATCCCTTACACGCCTCAACAAAACGGTCGCGCCGAACGTGTCAACCTCTCCATCGTCGAGGGCGTCCTCGCTCTCCTTGCGGACGCCCGTCTGCCGGCCACCTTTTGGGATGAAGCGGCTGCGTATTTCGTTTATTGCAAAAACAGGTGCTCACACTCAGCTTTGGCCAAACAGACTCCAGAATCCGTTTGGAACGGCCAACGCACCACCGCCACCGCCCTCCACCCGTTCGGCTGCACAGCCTGGCTCACGGTCGCCCCGGACCTTCGCAGCAAGCTCGACCCCAAGGCCGCGCGCGTGATCTTCACAGGTTACGACCTCGCCTCCAAAGCTTTCCGTTTCTTTGACCATTCCATCAACAAGATTGTACTTGGTCGCAATGCCACCTTCCTCGACGACGACTTCCCCGGCCTGCCAGTCACCACGCCCGTCGATGCAGACGACACCGACCGTCAGTTCGTCGTTCCCGCCGACACGCCCGCCCCTGCCGTCAAGACGAGGACCCCACTAGTAAGGTCGGCGCACATGGACGTCTCATCCTCCCTTGATGATTCTGCCATGAGCGCCGTTGACGTGGCCCCAGGGTACACTGGCGGAACCTTACTTAATTCCACAGATACCGAATCGTCCTCGTCACCGTCTCCTGAGCCGTCCTCGTCACCGTCGCCCACAAACCCTTTGTCACCGTCGCCTGCGCTGTCACCGTCGTTGGCAGCGTCATCGTCACCCTCGGTCTCACCGACCGACTCTGACTACTCCGCCGACCCTCTGGACCTCATCGGCTCACAGACCCCGACTCGCCTTGGCCCACCGGACGTGCACCGCCCAGACTTCAGCACGTACCGTGAGCCCGCATCGGCTGAGGAGTCGCCCGACGAACTCGACATCATTGGGCGTCACTCGCGCGATGAATCGCCGGATGAAATCGATTTCCTCACCCAACACCACCGCGCCTTCATCGCCACAGACGACGACGACCCCACCCTCGACGCCATCGAGCCCGTCAAATCGATCACTAGCGACCCCCAGACCTGGCGCGAAGCAATGTCCAGCGACGAGCACAACATCTGGGCTGAGGCCGCCGCCGCCGAGTTCACCGCCATGCGCGACGACTTCAAGGTGTTCACCATCGAGCCTCGCTCATCTGTACCGCCGGGCGCCACCATCGTCACCTCCAAATTCGTCTGGAAGACCAAGCGCAACGCAAGCGGTGAAGTCACGGGGCGGAAGGCACGTCTTGTAGCGCAGGGTAACCGACAGCGCGACGGCATCGACTTCTCAGAAACCTTCGCACCCGTCGCCCGTTTCTCCTCCATTCGCTGCCTCCTGGCTCTTGCCGCTGCCAATGGCTACCACGTTCATCAGGCCGACATCGACAAGGCTTACCTCCACGGCGAGCTCGATCATGATATCTGGATGACGACACCACGCGGTTTCGACTTCCCGAGCGATAAGGTTCTCCGGCTGCGACGCTCAATCTACGGTCTCAAGCAGGCCAGTCGCATCTGGAATCGTCACATTGACACATCACTCAGGAATCTGGGGTACAAGGCAACAGGCACTGATCACTGCATTTACTCTCGCATTGACGATCAGCAGCGGCCTCACTATATCGCCTTGTATGTCGACGACCTCCTCATTGTCAGTCCAGCCCTCGACGAGATCGAACGTGTCATCTCCGGCCTTGAACAGCGGTACGGCGTCAAACGACTCGGCCCCGCGGAGTACATCCTCGGAATCCAAATACGCCGCCTGGACGACGGTTCCATTGCTCTATCCCAGGAGCGCTACATCATGGACGTGCTGGCCCGTTTCCACTTCGACACCACGACACGCGGCACTACGGTGCCGATGACGCCCGGCCTCTCGCTCACGGCAATTCCGGGTCAGGGAACGGAGCGCATTCGTTCGTGGTACCTACAGGCCATCGGCTCCCTCCTCTACATCTCCCTTGGCACTCGACCCGACATTGCCTTCGCCGTCTCGTACCTGTCCCGGTTCGCCAACAACCCCGGCCGCCGCCATTGGATTGCCGTCAAACACGTCCTTCGCTACCTTCGCGCCACGTACCGCGATGAGCTTCTCTATGCCCGCGGCCCAGCAAAAGTCACGGGTGTGGTTGGTTATTCTGATGCGAACTGGGGCGCCTGCGTCGACACATCCATTTCAACGATGGGCTACGTATTTTACTTGGCAGGCGCCGCTGTCTCTTGGTCGTCGAAGCGTCAGACTCGGGTAGCGGATTCCACCACTGATGCCGAGTACCTGGCCTTGTCGCACGCGGGTAAGGAAGCGATCTACCTTAACCAACTCCTCTCCGAGCTCCACGTTTGCCCAATCGCTGCAGCTCACATCTTCACCGACAACGAGGCCGCGGCCGCCGTCGCTCACGACCCCGTTCGCACCTCCGGCACCCGGCACATTCGCCTCCGCGAGCATTTTGTCCGTGACATGGTCAATCGAGGTGATATCTCTCTCTCACACGTTGGCACAGCAGACATGGTTGCGGACGTATTCACCAAAGCGCTAGGCCCCAAGATTTTTGGTACACATTGCTATGCTCTAGGCCTCCGGACGCGACATCCACGGCTCAAGTCTACCTCGCGT